GATCCTATATTAAATATACCAACCCAACCACACCACTCTCGGTGGCCAATGCATATCAGGGACTGTCTGCAATGCGCTTAGAAATAAGATCATGGAATTGCCACTCGATCTATTCCCGGAGTTCTGAGCATTGCGATAAGCTCTGGAGTTATTGGCTTATAATGGTGCTAGTTATTGTATCATCCCAGCTTATCACACCTTTTACAAGAGGATAACAGAATCATAGTTGTTCATTATACCAATTGGTACTCACACGTACCACGGTATTTGCCCAAATAACCTGGTAAGTAAGAAAGCACTAAACTCTACTAAAACTACTTTGTGGAGCGTGATTAGCACAACAATTTCCTCCATTACTTCTCGACATCCATATGTACCAAAACGGGCGAAGTAGTAATCCAATTCTGCAAATTATAGCAGAAATTGATAAAATAGTCAATAAATGATTAGAAACCTCAATCATGGCTCAAATCGCTTTCAACAAAACCTATCTGATTTCAATGATTTTGTTTAGCCAATTGGCAATTTCAGATGTGTGCGTCGATACCTATTAAAAGTAGAGTTCACTCAGGTTCTTCTTTCTTGTAAAAGACATCCATTTATTCACAATCAGTTCAGAATTTTGGCTTCTAAGAATTTCTAATATGCGCTCATTCCATTCTGTTATATAGACAGTGGAGTTTGGGAGCCGGAATTTGCCTATTCTTTGCCCGTTCCAGTTTAGCGCCAACCAGCTCTCTTCGAGTAAATCTTTCTCTGTACACTTGACGCATTGTCCGCAACCTCCATAGTAGTTTTTTGCTCACGAGCATATCAACACTAGGTCATTTGGACCCTGCATTTTGTTATTATTAATATTTTTACTTGTACTTTCCATATTTGTCTTTCTTTCTAGGGGAATATAGATTATCTTATCAGGTTTTTTCAGGCGGGGAAACAAGATTCCCAGGTAGTGTTTAATCTTCCCTCAGCTTAAATTAAACGGTAGCGGGGAGAAGAGAGATTGTATATCACCACCCCCTATTCCGACACCCGGGAAAGGGCAAGGTAAGAGGTCTACGTCATTTCTCTTAATTCAAATGTCAGGTTACTTTCCCAGTCACCCTTAACCTGCTTGATCCCCTTCCCTGACAGATCCGGATGGACTTACGATTCTTTGCAGTGTCTTTCATTCCACTGGACGTCGACCGAATGCCTATTGGAAATACACAGAAAATGTTGGGGGTTTCTCACCCAATATGGACAATAGATTGATTTTCGAAAGAGATCCAATGAACAAATGCTTTTAATTGTATAATCAATTATAAACTGATCCTGATGACACATGATATAGAGATTTTGGTTCTTAAAAAAACTTGTTGCGTCGAATTTTAACGCTATCCTGACAATTTTAAGCCGGTTATAAACGTTAAAGTAAGTTTTTGAAGTTCTCCATTCTTAACATTATAATTTCCAGGTGTATAAAAATAACTTCATGTACCGATTTTTCCCATTTTGCACATTAAACAAACCTTATCAGCTTTTCTTTCCACATACAGACGGACAAAGCTATTTCGTCTAGAATATACATACATATATACTTTTGTCACAAACGGAATGTTAAAAAATATAATTTCTTCATTCCCATCTTGATTTTTTCTTTCTTATCGTTATAATATAAATGATTAACAGTTGAAGATCGTGAATGTCTATATTTATTTAATTACGATGTGTTAACTTCTCAATAAAAAGAAGAATTATATAAAAATTTTAAATAATTATGTGAATCAATGTACCCTATTTGTGTAAAAAAGATCGTAAATATCGTTTTTAATCGATTACTAAAGATATTAATGAGAAACTAGTGAATGTAAATTCAATAAGAATATCGCTTGTGTGTGTATTTCCCGCTGAAACAATTACTTGTAAAGATAACTTGATCGGACTAAATATAAAATCGTGGGTTGCATAATTGCATTAATTCTAAAAGAGTCCAAGACCGTTTCTTTAAAATCTACCATTAAAAAGGATGATTTTGTTATTCCTTTTGTAACACATCGAAATACTGGTCGTAGATCATAGTAGTATAGCCATTTTCGTCTAACTGTTGAAAGCTCAATAGGCTTTCGAGGGAGTACCTTGAGGGCTGAAATTTAGCTTTTTATAATTTTAACTCCACCTCCGGTTATAGTTTAACCTATAGATATTCTGCCGGTTAAAATAGTTTTTGTATGAAAACTGTCAATTTAATCTTACGATAAAATATAAGCAGACATTGAGATAATGGGGGTAAATAAGAATTCATTATTTATTAGCTCTGATTTAAATCCTGAAAATAAAAACCTAAAATAACTGTTTTCAATACAATAACTTTGGAATAAAATAGTCGTTAAAACCACTGTACACGACTAAATAAATCTCTACTTTCTATTTATTTTATTTTCGCAATAAAAAATAATTTTTTGGGTTTATAGAAGAATTTTGTAAATTTGATTGCACATCATTATAAAACATGAATTAGATGTTTTATTTGTTATAAAAAAATCAAATAGAATAAAAACAATTTAATTGATTTTTGGCGTTGTTGTCTTTTTAAGACAAAATAAATTCTCGTAAAAAACTCGTTCAACCACATAAAAATTCGCCGCAATATCCACTGACATGCGCTTGTTTAAATCTTTTTTTAAATTTTTTTTATCCACGATAATAAACAGATAAAAGTACATATGACTGAAAAATGCTACCAGACGAGGGGATTTCTATGTTAAATTGGGGATTTTGAAAAATTGGAAAGTGGCCATTATATAACTTCTTTTCAACTTGTAAACTCTAATCAATTTCTCAAGAAGTGGAAGTAATATGTATCTTAAGTCGACAATCAAGAAAGTGAAATTTAAAGCTATAAATTTTCTGAAAACTTTGGATTTAAAAACTGTTCATGACATTGGCGATTCGAAACACAAACCACAACACATGGGATATGGGTAAATAAACAATGAGAGTGGTTTCCTTAGATAAGGCACGCTGCCTTGAATAATATATATACACTTCCTGGCACAGCCACTGTGCATCAAACTGCCAAACAAGGACTCTCAGATGTTCAAGTCCGAAGTTTTAAGAGGGAGAACATTTAATCAATTACGTATAGCAGGGCCTTGATTTCATGTTAGAACTAAAGGACATACGTTAGTACCTCCGATGAGCTATTTAGTAGTATTCTAGTCTGTCAGGTCAGAGGACATGAATTTGATTCAAAACGGATAATAGGTCCAATCAAAAAGTTAGATACTATGGAAACCCCCTTCTCTCTATTTATTAGACCTTTTCTATGATCTTAAGAGAGCGGACAGACATTTTGTTCTACCGATAAGGCTGATCGGTGGATTAAACTAATTTCTGGTACCAAAGAAAAATTGAAAAAAAGTCGAGACTCAGAGAGTCTATTCTAAAAGATTGATCTGCGATCTCATTTTTGAAATATCGTTGACAGGTGGTTGGATCGAATATCCGAAATTAGAGCTTTACTTGGGTTCAATAATGATCCCTTTGTAATTTTACCTGTAAGAAGAATAGAAGAATAGGGATAGCAGAAAGAGAGAGAGAAAATGTGAAGAGAGTCCTAGAAATAATGATATGGAGACGTAAGATTAGTAACATGCGTCCAGCTTAGCGTGAAATTGTAGTTCACAACCATTTTGACAAGTTCAGGTATGCAATGGGTCGTTCTAGCTGAACACTCGACAGATCTGATAGAACATTAAAATAAGTTGACACTAAGGTTCCAAAACGGGCCGTTTTCAAAGGTGGACAGTGACATAGAACATGGACTCCTCATCCTTATTTTGACAACTTTTACATAAGTCGTTATACGGTAAACCAATGCGCCTAGCATGGTTTCCAAATTTGCAGTGGCCAGTTATGACCGATACAATATTACCTAACTGAGATCTTTGAAGACTAAAAATATAGGTGGTTCTATGTGGATCCATGTTGGGCCGCAACGTTCTAGAGAGTATGCTCCCCCGACCAGCGAAATTTTGCATTAACAATAATATGACTTTTTATGACAGACAGTGGAACCCCACAGAACTGGTCCACGTCTAGATCTCCTAGCATGGTCAAGGTATCAGCAATTTAATCGACATATATAGTCCCGTGTCCTTTGACCCATATAAGGGTAATGTTCGAATATCTCGCCATCTCGTGTAGAGACGTCCGGCATTCATTGACAAGTTGTGATGTTAAGATATCTTGAAGGAAGGTGAGTTCAAACCCAAGGTCAAATCTATACTTTATATTCGAGAGATTGGGTCATAACAGATTGTCTTCGCTTTATTGTTCCGTTAGGACAAGATATCTCGAAAACTTGATGTGATTGAGATTGGTAGCAGAGTTAAAATTTTGTTGGCCCTATATTGCCATCCATATACAGGCAGAAGGCAAAAACTTTATAGTACTTTACTCATTGGAACTACGAACAATATTTCGATGTGTTACTATTGAAACCACGATATTTGTATGCCAATTCGGGGGACATGATTTAATAACATCTGGCTACACTGTGAACAACTTTTTCTTAGAAAGGTAATAATTAACAACAACAACAACTAGTAAACATCATCATCAAGCAACAACAACAAATGCATTAAATCACACAATCACGAGAGAAAACCCAACGAACGAGCCCCTTTTACCCTTGTTTTTTTGCGTTTTTTTTCTTCTTTTATTATTATTTTTATTTTGTATTTTTTATATTAACACATGACTCTTTTTTTTACTAGCAACAAAAAATTAAACTTTTTTTTTAATAATTTTCTCCTTGGTGAGACATTATGTAGACGAGTGAGTGACATTTTCGCTCAGTTACCACAGAACCAGTGGTGGTATGTGCTCGCAGAGACAATAATTATCATCATCATTAACATCATCATCAACAATTTAAACGTTTCGTGGGGCTATTCGTTTCGTATTTTTTCAAATTGGTTGTTGTTATTTGTGCTTTCTGGTTAGGAGGTAAATGCGGCGATTTGGTTCCTTAGTTGGTTTAGTAACGTTCTAGTTGTCAGTTGTCGTTCAGCGTTGAACGGGCGACGTGTGATTAAAATTCATTCTTCCTTCTCTCGTTGTGTGTGTTTGTGTGATATACTCTACTGCGGTGTGAAAATTGTTTTTCAAAAAATAAAAAATTAAATAAATTGAAAAAGAAATATTAAAAAAATAAACAGAAGAAACTGTTTAAGGTATAATTTTCTTTGATTTATTACATATTATGTGGGTTTTCACTTGATATTTGTATATACATATATATTTATATAAAAAAATGTATTTATGTACATATACATAATTTTTATGTATGTACTAAATATGAAGAAAATTTAATTGAAAAATACTTTATTTAAAGAAAATTGCCAATTTAGCGAAAAAAAAAAATTTCAAGAAAATTAAAAAAAATTAAAGTTTTTGCAAAAAAAGAAAAAAATTAACTGAATTGGCATAATTAAAAGTGAATTTGAATTTTCTTTTCTTAAAAGTGTGGGTTTGATCGAGAATTTGAAAAAGAAGAAGAAAAAACTCACACACATTTTGCAATGTTTTAGTTTCTATTAAATTTATTTTCACACGAAAAAACATTTTTCTGCTGACTATGAAAATTTGTGTGGTTGTGATGTTTTTTTTTTTTTTTTTTTGGTTTTCAAAAAGATTTTGGTTGTGAATTGTGTTAAAAAAAAATCAATTTTATGTGCGTTGCGAACGTCGAACACATGCCAAACATTAGCAAAAATAAAATTATTTCAGAAACTTTCTAAAAATATACCTACATACAATAAATATTTTTTTTAGCATCTTGCTTTTTTTCTGTTTTCATAATCAATACAAAGTATGAGAAAAATTAATTATAAATAAATTAAAAAAGTAAATATAAAAATATAAATAAAAACCCCAAACGTTAACAAAATCAATTCACAATAAATAGTTGTTCAAATATTTGTTAATACACATATGAATAAGGGGTTTAAATGAAGGACCTGAAGAAAACGATAAATAAAATTATATAATCTCTGAAAAAAAGTTCGAAAAAAGAGCAGCGAAAGCGTGACGACAACGACGACAGAAGTTATAGAAAAAATTTATACAAAAATAACAAAAACTAGCAAAAAAGAAAAAAACAAACCACATTAAGAAAAAATCCGGCATAAAATCCATTGAAACAGTTCGCAGCCATACATACCAACCCATTCTCTCAAATTATTTTATGTACATACAGACCTACACACAAACATCCATACAATACTGACAGTGTTTAATGAAGTACAATACAGGGTGTTTTCTTTTTCATTACTTACATTTTTCCAGTAAAGATGTTTTGCTCAACATTTTTATCCACTTGCAAAACTTGACAGCTTATTTTTTCTCTCTCTCCCTCTCTTAAATTAAGATATCGCTTAACTTCCGAAATGTTAAGCGAAATTTTTCAAAAAACGTGCTGTATTGTTGAAATTTTCAGTAATGTTAGTCGTGTTTTTAGAGTTCTGATTTAAAAAGGACGATTTTCGAAATCATTCCGACTCATTTGCAAGTCTTTTAAGATTAATGCTACATACACTAAGCTATGACATAACCCTCAGAATCGGAATACGGAATACGCTCTTCTTCAGGACGATATTATGGCAATCTATGCAAACCATTAAAAAACTGACTCGGGAATTTTGAGCTTGATTTCTTGTTATACATTATGACATGATATTACCAATCTGATTATCAACAAGAGAAAACAGATTGGCATACACTTTCTTCCGGACGTTGTGATCTAAGACACTGGCTCCGCTTGATCTCCTTTAGATAGCTGAATGTCTTTGCCGTTTTCCAGGCCGATATCTATGTATATTGCTATAACAATATATGTAAACTATTCAAGAACTGGCTCTTGTTGTGCATTATGACATCATATTACGAATCTAATTACCAACAAGAGAAAACAGGGTGGCATACACTTTCTTCCAGACGTTGTGATCTAAATTACTGGCTCTGCTTGATCTCCTTTAAGGGCCCTTTACATGATCACACTTTACGTAAAGTCTAATAAAGAAGTAAAATGAAATTCCATCCGTATGACAAAAAAGAGTATAAAAGTTTGTGTTTACACGGTTGTTATAAAACAATAACAAAGTAAGATGGAAACAGCTGTTTCACTTTTTATGTATGTGTATACATAAAAATACATCCCTGATCTAATACGACTTGCTTGTTTTTTGAATCATTTCAAAAAATTAAGAGAGCCATACGACTGTCAAATCCGTATTTTCTCTCAATGTGTGATGGTATCATAACATATTGCGTTTAGACCATCCCATTCGTACTCTTCTACACAAAATTTTGACAGATCATATTATTTGTGTGCTCGTGTAAAGCGGCTTTACCAACAGGAGAAAAACAGGGTGGCATACACTTTCTTTCGGACGTTGTAATTTAAATTACTGGCTCCGCTTGATCTCAACTTAAGAAAAAATTTAAATGCTAGCGAATATGCGATTAACGGAATTGGATCGTATCGATTCATCGTATATGAAAGCCAATTATAAAAATGTGGACTACTATTACCATTTGCAGTATATCCAAATTACTCTAGCACAGAAAACAATCTTCAGGAGAATTAGCTCTTGGCTGTTGAGAAGAATTAGTTAAGACTTCTTCCTACCGGGCATTTCAGATCGTTTGAGCATTATAGTACATACAAATTTCTTTTATGATCTGGACTGTCTCTAAGATGTGTCAATAAAGAATCTAATGAGAATAGTTAGAAGTACTGTTGAAATTTCTCGCGAACCACAGGATTTGTAAAAGATCGTCAAATTAAAAAGAGTTAATTTAAGGGTATCACAATGTTCCGAATTTTCACGCTATTGTTAAAGTTCCATGCCGCATAAAGTGGATATGATCTGGAAATTGAATGGATGTTATTGAGGAAATGGCTTACATAATAGCAGCAGTGAAAATTAACCGATATAAGCAGATCTTCTTTAGATTTAATTGGAAAAGTTTTCTGTAAGGATCAGAAATAATGAAGTTATACCCAGATTCTGATTCAGCGCAGGTATATCCTTTAGAAAAGTATATTTTCGTTTCTTGGTCCAAAATGATTTTCAATACAACCATCACTGATTTATATATGTAATTCGGCAGTAAGAGATGGTATTGTTCCAAAAGAACATGAACTTCCCATATGGGAATATATACATATTTATATATGTTCCCATATAATTTACGGACCCTTAAGATGCTAAATAGACTTAGAAAGTGATTATATATTGACTGTTCCAATATCTGTATAGTATAAATAGGATTAATGTAATTTTAATTATAGTTAATCAAATATTTGTTTACATTTTTTTTAAATTAATATATGTGCGTCATTCTTTTAATAAAAGTGCATATTTCAGGTATAAAAAATAAAAATACCTTAATGATATTTGTTAATAATATTAGTAAATTTAGAATAAAAATTTTCACGAGTTTAGATAATAAACGATAGATTTTTGTTAACTAATCACTTGATTACTACTCTCACTTCATTAGCACATCGTAGCAGTCATGAGGCTACAATATATAAATTATATATGTGCTATTTTAAAATATTTACAAATTTCTTTCTTTGTTAACACTTGCGAGACCCACTGTTGCAGTAACTTAAATATATTTTCAAAGTTTTTAGTACAAAAAATAAAGAAAATAAATTGATTTTGCTGTCACGCTTTAAAAATATCAATTGTCTGACAATTTTTGTTCCTAATTTCATAAGAAATAAATTTAAAAGAAAAATCCCTAACAATTTACTTTGTGTTACACAAGTCAGTGGTGGTGGGTGAGTGGTTTTATGGTTCAATATAAAAATAAAAAACAGAAACGAGTGGGTAGTTTAGCAATTTATGTTGAATTCGCCGTAAAACGAAGTCCTGTCAGAAACGGATGTTCTTTTACTGTTTTATCCTGAAATTGTGTTTATGTGTGTATGTACTAGGGCATGGACTTGGTGTGTGTATTAATAAAAGTTTTAATCCTTTCAAATTAAGCGTGAATTAAAAAAAGTTAATTAAATAACAAAGTCTAAAAACAGGAAATTATTTGTTCCTTTACTTCAAGACAAGTAAACTCAAATAAAACAATACGAAAAAAGAAAATATCAAACGAAACTAAAAAAAACCAAACCTATAAAACTCAATTTATTAAAAAAAACATCCTAGTGCGCGTGTGTAATGGCGTTTTTGCGTTCCATCTGTGCTCAACGTACAAATTTAGTTTATAGTTATAGTGGCTGTAGTTCCAGCAGCTTTGGTGCTGGCAAACTTCAATACATTGCTGGCTCTAAAGCTACAACAAGTTGGTCGAGCTCGGTTCGACAATTGAGTCATGATTCGAAGGACAATGCAAGTGAATTGAATTTACAACAAGGCTCATCGCATCATTATTCCACTCATCGTCGCAGCAAACAACTCTTATTAGCCAATGCTCTATTTGCACCTCATTTCAATCAACATTATCAACGTGTCCACACAAATGCTAGCAAATCTCAAACTGTAACCGCTACCCAAACGATTGCGGATGACGATAAAGTTTCTTCGGTTTCTTCGAGGAAACCACATCGTAGGCAAGCCCCACAACCAAATGTTCCCGAAAATCCCCAACGTGATCCTTTGGATGTTAGTTTCAATGATCCAATTGCGGCATTCAAGAGCAAAACAACATGGGAGCTAGTACGCGCCTATCTTGTCTATACTATTTGTTCCAGTGAAAAGCTTGTTGAGCATAATATGAAGGTAAGTTGGAAAAGTTTCATCATTAGTTTTCCCTTAATGCTTTTTTGTTGTTGTTGTTATTATAGAAATTCTATACAAAATTCGTAGCCAAAAGGAAATAATCGATTTAAAACATGTTTCCATTCATGCCATCAAAATTGTTAGTTTTGAAACATGTCCACTTTCGATTTTTAAATCTTTAGAATCCGTAAGGATCCATATTGATATAAAGAGGGTTCTAATTGACACCGGTTAGTCTACTTCAGACTAGTCAAATACTGATTATATCTTCCTAATTCATTAAGGATCCTTAGAAATATTGCTATAGATCCAAAAGACTCGTTTCAAAGTTAAAAAAACTTTTGATGTTATATTTTTCCAAAACATTAAGAATTAATTCAAAATTATACTTTTGCATTATGTCAGAACACTTAAAGCAAGATCACATTATTTCTTATAGACCTAAAAACCCGATATTTGGCTCTCGAATTTTGTTTAGTGATTCTATTTATTATGTGTTTTTTTTTTGGATGGTATAATTTTTACTTTCAGTTTAATTTAAGATATTATAATAATTTTAATATATTTGTTTGCCGCTTTCGTTTAAATACAATTTCATACACTGATATTTGAAAGTCTTATACGATCAGGTTTTCTTTTAGCATCGTAGCATTGCAAGTTCAAACCCCAATATTGATTTGATTATCTCAATATGATAGTCATTGCTAAATAGTAATTAAAAACCTGTATAAAAATTGCTTTAAATACCCTGTATTTCTTTTTAATTTTTTTCGTTTATTTGTTTTTGACTGCTGATCTTAATAGCACGATTAATAGACAAATATTTTACTGAATACACACAATTTTATAGACAGTAACTAATGTACAATAAGGGGTTTAAAATTAAAAAACACAGTAATTAAATACAATTGTAAAAAAAACCTTGCTACCTTGGCACAGTGAGTAGCAAAAATGATGAACAGAATGTATTCCTGTTATAAGTATAAGATGTTCATCTGCGACTGCACCCATAGTTTTAATTTATACAATTGACTATCAAACAATAACAACTTGTTTTATAACTAAATAGGACTTTTGTCGAGAGTTATTTTCTTAAGAAAAAGTTTTGGTATTGATATCTCTGTCAATACCACATCTTCGACTAAATTTAATGACCAGGAACCTGATACATCAGGTTCCTGGTCATTACTTAAAAAAGAATATAAAACTGTATGAAATCTTAATGAATTATTCTCGAAAAAGTCGATACTGTTCGAAAAAGTCTTTTAGAGAAGTCTATAAATGATTGATCACTTAGTTAGTCAAAAAGGAGGCCTCCAGGCCTTCATCGTATTAGTTGTGCGCTTCTTTAACAGTGCCTCTGGTGGGAATCGAACCAAGATCTGATAGGCTAGAACATCTGATAGGCTAGAACATTAACTTCTAAGCTACCGAAAGCACACTGTTAAAATATTTTCAAAAAATACCGACAACGAATACTGTTTCCGAGAATTCTCTTCAGTGGAAAAATGTTGACCTGATCATCGGTAGGTTGACTAATTTTTACGGAATACGACTTCAGTTGTTCCTCAACAAAGATATTATATAGACCAGGTGGTTAAAACTAGAGTACTTCAATATCTCTATGCGGCAACTATTGGCGATAAGAATTATTGCAATTCCCCCGGGAGCTGCCAGTAACAGCTACCAGACTTGCAGTCTGACCAGAGAACTCAATCTTTCCGACTTTGTCCTTTGCCGATTATTGGTGCACTTTTTGATTGTGGTTGAAATCCGAATTTGCGATAAGAGAAGCTTAAGTTAAGAAGAATTATGTACCATAAAAAGGTGCACATCCACTAGGAGACCATAAGGACCTTTGTGGTTCCCTTCAAAGAGTGAAGATCCAAAGACAGAGAAACAAAAACACTATAAGAAAACAAGAAAGAAGAATGGTCTATTCCCAAGGGCTTTCAACCCAGAAGACTTACTAAGTCAGTACTCTAAGGAAAGAAACGAGAGAAAAAATCTATGTCCTACTATAAAACATAGTCGGGAAGATAATGCTGGTTTAAACATTGATGCACGCTTAAATTGATACTTCGGGATAAGTTCGGTGCTATTGCCGTGATAATAATACCCCTCTGAGTAGTGAGTTTTGGTCACATTAATGGACTGCGGAATAAATCAGGAGTATGTATGTGAACCTCGCTACATGTGTCAGATGTTTTTCTCTATGAACACGTCAGATGAAAGTGCTGTAAGATAGGTAGCTCGCTTCTATACCAGAGTGTGTTTCGGGATTTACTCTGTTCATACCAGACATGCCGTATTGTGTCCTTGAGATTTAGGAATAATATCTTGGTTCATTAATGGCAGATCGTTTTTCGGTCTATCAAATAGCGGTCTAGGTTTCGGTGGTGCTCATCTTAAAACATATCTTAAACGATATCTATGGGTAATGACTGCGGAATAAACAGCCTGTTCGATGTATGGGAGAATCTGTAGATCTACAAAGTTCCTTATTGAGTCCTCAATAAGTATCACCCGCTTTAAACACAATCAAGAAAATTTGGATCTTTCGATCTTTAGCCCTTATGTGGCTTTTTATATATGTCCTAAAAACCCAAACTTTTAAATATTTTCTTTACAATTCCACCAAACGTCGTATTCTCGTGGCCTAAATCGAAAGGCTATGAAATGTTTCAATGTTCTTCCTATCCATATAGAGATGTGGTAAATATGGAGGTCTTATGGTGGTACATTTTAGTCAATCAATTTTAAAAAATTGCCTATTCAGCATATTAGTGCAATCAATGTCAAACCCTCAGGTTCTTCTCCTTTATCAATATAAACATCGATATACATAAGGAGGAAATCACCATTTGACATTTTCATCTCAGTGTTGAGCAATATTTCTACCCTACTGTATGCCATTATGGTAATACAACACATGTTTGTATGTGTATCTACATACATTGCACATACACAAGTGCATATTTACCGGCATTTGTCCATGTATACTACATATATATTTAAAAAATAAATATTTACTCACATTATATACCAACTAAACCGGAGTGAGTACATTAGCGAGCGAAAAAGCAAAAAAAAAAAAAAAAAAAAAAAAAAAAAAAAATTGCTTACAATTCAAACAAAAGTCAGTAAAGCGTAAAATGAGAAAAAATTAAACATCAGCTCAGAAGACGTAAGCAGAAACCGACAAAAAGCTAAGAAATAAACTCAGAGTAACAAAAACAAAATGTAGAACAACTAGACGCTGAAATTTCAGTCTTAATACTCGATAGATGTGGCTGGCTGACTGTTTGGTTGGTTCGTTGGATGAATGTGTTAGCATGGGTGGGCAGAGAACGGAAAAACCGGTAGAGAATCTAAACATGCATGTGGTATTTAAACCACAATGTAGATATATTTTCACGTGATGATTATTAAAAAACCCATTATAGTTTTACCCCATACGAATATTATGTATGATTTACGTCAATGTGATGAAGGAGTGAACTGAAACCTAAAAATAATTTAAACAAATAATATGTGTTAGTAATATGTGAAAAATACAATGAATATTTATGTGAAATAGTGTCTAAGGTGATTGGCTAAAAAAAATGTACGACCTTGGGGTCTTCGGTCTAATAAACTTATTGTAGTATTTTCAAATACATAATTGTTTGGGGAACCCTACTTTAGGGAGTTCAATAATGTTTATATTCGTTTTGAAAATGCAGAGACCGAATACAACTAATAGAGATTGAATAATATCGAAACATTTCAACACCCAGATTTTGGCCGACGAATGTAGGACAAAAGAATAAGAACTCAGGGTATCCACCTTTAGAGAAAATAACCATTTTGATAGCGATCATCACCTCATCGTCTAGTATAAGAAGGAAATTCTGGATATCTTAGACTGAGATAACAAGAAATTGTAGCTTTGGCTGAAAGAGGATCCGAAGAAATAAATCTAAGCTCTTAACGGGCCTATTGTGCGCCCTTTTGGATTTAAAATATTCGCGGGGAAAACTTACTAGGTACTAGTGTTGCACGGTCCGCGTTGCTGGCCCATGATATATACCCATCAAATTTTAAAATAATCTCACGATCTCTGGAACATATATTTCAAATTTTGCGCTATCAGGTGTCTTAGTTCCTGAGTTTATCGATTACGAACAAACATTACTCGTTTTATTTAGTTTTATCCATCGTTTGAAGACTTAGTCTATGTCGATATCGGGCATTTAGCTTCTTATTTTCGCCAATTCATGAGCTATACAGTTGCTAATTGAATCTCCGTGTCCCCGTACTAATTGGACAAATGAGCAGCAGGATTAAAAAAATCGGTCATTTTAAATATACAAAATTCACAAAATTGTAAGCGGTCCATGCAATTCTTCTGATAGTTTTTAACAACATTCTAATTTAAGACAGAAAAAATCAGTTCTAAAGGGACATTAATCATTTATGATGCCCACAACTTCAAAAATCGTCTGAAAGTTATAGTTGGTCACATTGAGAATATAATAAAATTATGTATGTATCTGAAAAACTATATGTTCTTTTAAAACGTCACACAAAATTTTAAACATTTTTTTTGTTTTTTATTTCGTATATGTTTTGAAACATATGCATTTTTATACAAAAAATATCTATTACGTTGTGTTACGTATTCACTATTTTCATGACACACTCGGTTACGTATACATACATTCAAAATATCTAGTATAACAGTATTTAAACGACCAAAAACGACGACTAGTTTTCTTTAAGAAGCTACAGCTTTAAACAGCAAAAATTCTCATTCATATTCACATCTACATAAATACAAACACTTAAACAATCAAGCAAAAACAAAAAAAAAAAAAAAACAGACAAGCCCCCAAAAATGAACCAACTGCTAAAACGCAATTGACTAATAAACTAACCGATACATACCTAAAACACTTTCATAGATACAAACATACACGCACACGATTATTTGAAACTGTAAGATACTTTTGGTACAAAATAAATCAAAAATTATTCTTTAGATACTAGAGCTTGCTAGGGTGCTAGATATATTGTTAAAACACTTGCAATTTTTTTTTTTAATTTTGTAGTTGTATAATATTTCTATGTCAATGTGACGTTTAGAATTGAGAGAGAGAGAGAGTAACTGATAAAATTTAAAATTTCGTTTAATTTTGAAGTGTATTTTGGTACTTACAGATGGAAGGAATTATGTATGTCTGTACTATTGTCAAGTATTATAATTTTCTATTCGATTTTTTGCAGGTCTAAGCAAAAATAAATAATTTTTATAAATATTTTATGAATGTACACTTAAGTACATAAATTCATATGTACATACATACATACATAAATAAGTACATAAGTATATATGTATATAAAAACCTTCACAGTTTAAAATTATATAATATTTGAACTTACTATATATTTGCTATATATAGTACAGGGGCTTTTATTAAGATTGACGCATTCATTTATAATTTTATGGCTAAGGAATGTACTTCAACTTGTAATGCCATTAAACGTTTTCTGAAGAATATTATTTTCCAGATTACATAAGTGAGGTTTTACAATCCTCATTAGGTTGTCTAATTACTGATGTGATCTTTATGCGGAAATATCCGTTTTAAAAAGGGCAGCCCCCCTGCAAAAAATGAGACCTCACACGCGTCCGCAAAGAACTAGAACTGGTCCATAACTTGTTTATATGTTTAAAAATTTCCTCTCGTTAGGGTCACCTTATAGGATTTTTGTGGTTCTACCCACGGCTTCATTACTCCAAATGGTCGTATGAGATTCTCTCGCCTATGTTTTTATTCAGCCCTCGTTGCTTCGAACGGTTTTGCATTCTTCTGGTTAACTTCAAGTACATTTGTTTGTACTAGTGATCGGTAAGGGCGATCTCATTGGACATTGTGGTCTCAGTTACCATCAAGAGGAAACCTTGGAACATACTCTATGTAACTGCCCATTAGTAGGGTCCCGTAATGCTGCATCTTACGTATTTACGCCGACATCCCATTTTTGTGGTCAGTAAGGGCGATCTCTTTGGACATTGTGGTTTCAGATACCATGAAGAGGAAACCTCGGAATATATTATATGTAACTGCCAATTAGTGGCGTCCCGTAAAGCTAAAATTTTGGGTGCTGCCTTACTAACACCAAAAGACACTCCGGGAGTCTTTACGCCGACATTCCATTTAAGTGCTTGTAAACAAGAGTGATATTTTTGCATCTTGGAAGTTTAGTAACGAGGCAGAAATGGTCAGAAATTAGATAACTCGAGTACTAGAGCAAAGTGCTTGTATATGGACGGGCAGAACTATGAACAAAAATAGCCCCCGGCGTGTAAGAAGCACAAAGGGGCGATGGTGAGTCGTCGAATAAGCTCACCCTGTGGTTGAAAAAGTACCACCGTAAAATAAGGCCAACATGGCAATTGTACACCTACAGCACTTTGACTTCTTCTAACCCCTAAAGACATCTTCAATCTCTCACCAACTATCTTGGTACCCATATGATGCAAGGCTTACCTCGGTTAAGACTTTCTTATAGTCCAATGTGGTTTTAGATTAACTTGATATCTAAGATAACCAAAATATCGGTCTCTTTAATTGTCTGGACAACTTATCATAACAACTATTGTTGAAAAAGGTATGATGAACTGGAATCAGATTAGTTTGATTTGGAAGCAGTGAATGCAGAATAAAGTCTGTTCTTGTAATCCTTAGATATAACTATGGGTTAAAAAGAATTTTTTAAATCTAATTGTATATTAATTTGAACTTTGTTGCTTTTGTTCTGCACTGTACTGTATGCAAGAATTGAATGAATAAATCACAGTAGAAGCTAATTGTTTTTAAACTATCTTCTCTTTTTGTGTTAACACAATTTAATTAAACAATTCTAATTTAATAATGACAATTAAATTTGAACTTTTATTTATCAAGAACAGATTTTAAGTGTTATTGACGTTCAATGCTAAAATTAATTTCATATATAATATATTTTATGTAGCGTGAGTGTGAATTCGTCACAGCTTATTAACAGTACAACATTTGTATGTGTTTTTATTTAAATTTATAGCATTATAAAATATCGTAATAGGGGGTAAATACACTAAGGAAAATAGATTTTGGTTCTAAAAATAACAAATACACATGTTTTCGCATATTTTTATAATATTTATTTTTATTTATTGATACATTTTTTATATTGTTTAAATATTTTAAAGTAATTCCTCATTTCTAAAACAGTTTTAGTTACAACAACCAAAACAAAAAACAGTTTTAGCTGTTACAACCAACTTTTATACAAACAAGATGTTATATGGTAATAAAATCTTACATTTGGCAACTAATTTCAATATTATAACAAAACTGTTTTCTCTGTGTATATAAATAAATATATTTATTTACTTTAAACATTATTCTCTTAACTTTACCCGTAAATGCTGTTTAGTCAGGTGAATTATTTTCGTAATTGATATTTTATTTGATTGTATAATTTACTGGCAAAAAAAGTACCAAAAAAATGAAACACGTGTGTATTTAAGTGTTTTATTTTCAACTTCCAGACACTGGAAACTTTTATCTTTTTTTTTGATAATTTATTGCATACAATTGCCAAAAATAAAGTCAATTGGCAAAAATACGAGATTATATAATGACAATGATGTGATTTTACAGCAATAGAATAAATATTTAGATTTTGCAAAGTGCATTTACTTTGTGTATTTATTGTGAATCACAACTTGTGTTAAATATACAATGTAAATTGTTGTTTTAAAAGTATTCATGAGTAAAAGAGAAAACTTGTGACCGTTAAGTAGGTGGCAGACTAAATGTCGGCAAAATAAATCGATAATGAAGTACTTTTTAGCGTACATAAATTGGCAACTTTGTTTTTATACATAATATAAATGAAATAATGTGACAGTTGGTTTTTTACAAATGAAATTAAATAGAATAATTGTAATTCCTTGCAAAAGTTTGAAATGCAAGTCAAACATTTTATAATAATAACACAGTGATGTACGAAACATAAGCAACAAAGATATGATTATAGACCAGACAATAATATAGGCCAGTCTATAGTTCAAACCATAGATCAGACTGTAGTCCAGTCTATTGCCCTGACTATAGTGCAGGTTATAGACCAATCTCTAGTCCAGACTATAGACCAAAGTATAGACCAGACTATAGTCCAGACTATCAACCAGACTATAGCCAAGGCAATAGACCAGACTGTAGTCCAGACTATAATTCAAACTAAAGAACAGACTATAGTCCAGAGTCTCCAGACTATAGACTAGATTATAGACCAGAGTCTCCAGACTATAGACTAGACTGTAGTCCAGGCTATAGTACACACTATAGTCCAGACAATAGACCAGACTATAGTCCAGGCTATTGACCAGACCATATTCCAGATTATAGCCTAGACTATAGTGCAGGCTATAGACCAGACCGTAGTCCAGACTATAGTCCAGAGTCTCCAGACTATAGACCAGACTATAGTTCAGATTATAGAATATAGTCCAGTTTATAAACCAGGCTACAGTCTAGACTATAGACCAGACTATAGTCCAGATTGTAAAACAGACTATAGTCCAGTCTGTAAACCAGAATATAGTTCAAACTGTAGAATAGAGGAACTACAGTCCTGATTACAACTAGCCAATAGTTCAGAATATAGACCAGATTTCAAGATTTTTTTCAAGGAATCCAGAAAATTTTTAACTGTAAGGAAAACTTTGGCTTTGTTAAATCGAATGGAATTCTTTTACAATCAGGGTAGAAGATTTTTGGCTATAATCCTCGTTAATATGTATATAGAAAAATATATGGAACATATTATTAATTTATGTTATGCTAAATTTACTAAGAAAACGGAAGATTTCTGTTTAGCAGATGTTGGAGGAAATTCGAATGATGTATATTTTGAATATATTTCCGATTTGTTATAATAATTTTAAATCTTATAAGACTTTCAAATACATGTATGAATATTTTATAATTTCTTTCATTTTCTACATAAAATTTATCATTTATTATAAGACAAATAAGGCATCTTACATTAATGTCATAAATGGCTGGTTCTAGTTTTTATTGGCGCTTCCTTTTAGTTAATTGAGTTATTTTGAATTGAATCACGACAAAAAAAATTAATAATTTTTCACTTTTCCAAATTCTTTTTTCAAATTAATGAATGTATAAAAACAAACAAACAAACCAAATAACAACAAATTTTTAGCTAATGAAAGTGGCAAATACAATACTGGGAGATAAATTGTTTACAGCACTTATGAAGGCAACATTTTATGGACATTTTGTTGCTGGCGAAGATCAAATAAAAATTATACCAACACTTGAAAGGTAATTTTATAAAACTATTATTTTAACTAATGCTTTTTTTCTGTTTTTTTTTTCTTTTCTTTACATTTTTTTATTAATATAAATTTGGATTATATTTGGATAATATCAACCTGCTTATTTATTGCCATGTTTGTTAAATAAACTATTAAATGCGCTAAAATCAAATCAACTCAATAATATTGTTTCCTGAAAACACACACCTCTGTATTCCAATGATACCAAAATCGATAAACACATTTCTACCATCACTTGTACCTTCCACACAATTTTTGGGTTTTATTTATTGTGCAAATACTTTCTTCCATTTCAATTGTATTTTGATTTGACTTTTGATTGATTGATTTTGATGCGGTTCCTCCGTACATGTAATATTCTTCTATTTAGTTGATGAAATTCGCCAGAGCCATATTGGGTGGCACACTTTTTGAACTTTTAATGAAATCAACTTTCTATGGACATTTTGTAGCTGGCGAGAATCGTCATACGATTGTACCAACACTTGAGAGGTTTTCTTTATTTTTTTGATATTTATTTTCTATTTATAATCTATTAATTTACAAATATTATTTTCATGTGTTTACTATATAAACGAATAATTGTATTAATCACATTTATATTTGTAACTCTTTGTCTATGAACGAATACATACATTTACTTTTCTGTATGACTAAATTGCATTTATTTATGTACATAAATACACATATTTAAAAGAATAAGCTCTAGCATGGCATGTTCTTTGTGTGAAAAAGGGCAATATATTGAATATTAAATTTACAGTGTCGTATTTACTTTGATTCTAAAATTACTATAGACTATGCTATACATTCGACTATCAAGTAGACTATAGACTAGACTAGGCTATAGACTAGACTGTAGACTGGACTATAGACTAGACTATAGACCAGACTAAGGACTAGACTATAGACTATACTATAGACTAGACTATAGACTAGACTATAGACTAGACTATAGACTAGACTATAGACTAGACTATAGACTAGACTATAGACTAAACTATAGACTAAACTATAGACTAGACTATAGACTAGACTATAGACTAGACTATAGACTAGACTATAGACTAGACTATAGACTAGACTATAGACTACTAGACTAGACTATAGACTAGACTATAGACTAGACTATAGACTAGACTATAGACTAGACTATAGACTAGACTATAGACTAGACTATAGACTAGACTATAGACTAGACTATAGACTAGACTATAGACTAGACTATAGACTAGACTATAGACTAGACTATAGACTAGACTATAGACTAGACTATAGACTAGACTATAGACTACTAGACTAGACTATAGACTAGACTATAGACTAGACTATAGACTAGACTATAGACTAGACTATAGACTAGACTATAGACTAGACTATAGACTAGACTATAGACTAGACTATAGACTAGACTATAGACTAGACTATAGACCTAGACTATAGACCTAGACTTAGAATAGACTACTGACTATAGACGAGACTATTAGACTAGACATACTAGACTCGACTATAGACGAGACTAATAGACTTAGACTATAGACTAGACTATAGACTAGACTATAGCTAGACAGAAGACTAGACTAGACTAGACTATACTACTAGACAACTAGAACTACTATGACTAGACTATAGACTAGACTATAGACTAGACTATAGACTAGACTACAGACTAGACTATAGACTAGACTATAGACTAGAGACTATAGACTAGACTATACTAGACTTAGACTAGACTAGAGCTAGACTATATACCTAGACTATAGACTAGACTATAGACTAGACTATAGACTAGACTATAGACTAGACTATAGACTACTTAGAGCTAGACTATAGACTGAGACTATAGACTAGACCTATAGACTAGACTATAGACTAGACTATGACTAGACTATAGACTAGACTATAGACTAGACTATAGACTAGACTATAGACTAGACTATAGAACTAGACTAATAGACTAGATATAGACTAGACCATAGGCCTAGAACTATAGACTAGACTATAGGCTAGACTAATAGACTAGACTAGACTAGATAGACTAGACTATAGACTAGAGACTATAGACTAGACTATAGGACTAGACTATAGACTAGACTATAGGATCTAGACTATAGACTAGACTATAGACTAGGACTATAGCCTAGACTATAGACCTAGACTTATAGACTAGGACTATAGACTAGACAGACTATAGACTAGACTCTAGGACTAGACTAACTAGACTATAGAATAGACTATAGACTAGACTATCGACTAGACTATAGGACTAGACTATAGACTAGACTATATACTAGACTATAGACTAGACTATAGACTAGACTATAGACTAGACTATAGACTCGACTATAGACTAGACTATAGACTAGGACTATAGACTAGACTATAGGACTAGGCCTAATAGACTATAGACAGATATAGACTAGACTATAGACTAGACTATAGACTAGGACTATAGTACTAGGACTATAGACTAGACTATAGACTAGACTATAGACTAGAATTATAGACTAGACTATAGACTAGACTATAGACTAGACTATAGACTAGACTATAGACTAGACTATAGACTAGACTATAGACTAGACTATAGACTAGACTATAGACTAGACATAGACTAGACTATAGACTAGACTAGACTAGACTATAGACTAGACTATAGACTAGACTATAGACTAGACTATAGACTAGACTATAGACTAGACTATAGACTAGACTATAGACTAGACTATAGACTAGACTATAGACTAGACTATAGACTAGACTATAGAGTAGACTATAGACTAGACTATAGACTAGACTATAGACTAGTCTATAGTCTAGACTATAGACTAGACTATAGACTAGACTATAGACTAGACTATAGACTAGACTATAGACTAGACTATAGACTAGACTATAGACTAGACTATAGACTAGACTATAGACTAGACTATTGACTAGACTATAGACTAGACTATAGACTAGACTATAGACTAGACTATAGACTAGACTATAGACTAGACTATAGACTAGACTATAGACTAGACTATAGACTAGACTATAGACTAGACTATAGACTAGACTATAGACTAGACTATAGACTAGACTATAGACTAGACTATAGACTAGACTATAGACTAGACTATAGACTAGACTATAGACTAGACTATAGACTAGACTATAGACTAGACTATAGACTAGACTATAGACTAGACTATAGACTAGACTAGACTAGACTATAGACTAGACTATAGACTAGACTATAGACTAGACTATAGACTAGACTATAGACTAGACTATAGACTAGACTATAGACTAGACTATAGACTAGACTATAGACTAGACTATAGACTAGACTATAGACTAGACTATAGACTAGACTATAGACTAGACTATAGACTAGACTATAGACTAGACTATAGACTAGACTATAGACTAGACTATAGACTAGACTATAGACTAGACTATAGACTAGACTATAGACTAGACTATATACTAGACTAGACTATAGACTAGACTATAGACTAGACTATAGACTAGACTATAGACTAGACTAGACTAGACTATAGACTAGACTATAGACTAGACTATAGACTAGACTATAGACTAGACTATAGACTAGACTATAGACTAGACTATAGACTAGACTATAGACTAGACTATAGACTAGACTATAGACTAGACTATAGACTAGACTAGACTATAGACTAGACTATAGACTAGACTATAGACTAGACTATAGACTAGACTATAGACTAGACTATAGACTAGACTATAGACTAGACTATAGACTAGACTATGACTAGACTATAGACTAGACTATAGACTAGACTATAGACTAGACTATAGACTAGACTATAGACTAGACTATAGACTAGACTATAGAGTAGACTATAGACTAGACTATAGACTAGACTATAGACTAGACTATAGACTAGACTATAGACTAGACTATAGACTAGACTATAGACTAGACTATAGACTAGACTATAGACTAGACTATAGACTAGACTATAGGCTAGACTATAGACTAGACTATAGACTAGACTATAGACTAGACTATAGGCTAGACTAGACTAGACTATAGACTAGACTATAGACTAGACTATAGACTAGACTATAGGCTAGACTATAGACTAGACTATAGACTAGACTATAGACTAGACTATAGACTAGACTATAGACTAGACTATAGACTAGACTATTGACTAGACTACAGACTAGACTATAGACTAAGACTACTATAGACTAGACTATAGACTAGACTATATAGACTAACTATCGACTAGACTATAGACTAGACTATAGAATAGACTATAGACTAGACTATATAGGACTAGACTATAGACTAGACTATAGACTAGACTATAGACTAGACTATAGACTAGACTATAGACTAGATATAGACTTAGGACTATAGACTAGACTAGACTAGACTATAGACTAAGACTATAGACTAGACTAAGACTAGATATAGACTAGACTATAGACTATAGATAGACTATAGACTAGACTATGACAGACTAAGACTAGACTATAGCCTAGACTAGACTAGCTATAGACTAGACATAGACTAGAGACTAGACTATAGATAGACTATAGACTAGACATAGACGACTAGACTAGATATAGACTAGACTATAGACTAGACTATAGACTAGACTTAGACTAGACAGACTATAGATAGATAGACTAGACTATAGACTAGACTATAGACTAGACTATAGACTAGACTACAGACTAGACTACTAGATAGACTACTAGACTAGACTATAGACTAGATAGACTATGACTAGACTTATAGACTAGACTATAGACTAGACTACAGACTAGACTATAGACTAGACTATAGACTAGACTATAGACTAGACTATAGACTAGACTAACTATGAACTAGTCTATATTTAAGACTATAGTTAAGACTACACTATAGTCAAGACTGAAGGCTAGATTATAGTATAGACTAAAGACTAGGCTAAAGAATACAGACTTGACTGTAGTCCAAACTATATAACAGACTTTTATATAAATTATTATAGACCAGTTAGATACAGGCTGCAGTTCATAGACCAGACTACCGCTATTTTTAAAATATTTTCGATAAATTTCTCTATTTTTATATAATTTTCGATTCGAGCTAGAGTACGAATCGTATAATTTAATTAATTTATTTTGTAGTTATAGTTTTGTTCAAAATAACAATAGATTGTTCTAGTAAATACGATACTATTTATTACATTAATTAACAATTAGATCTTGCCAAATTTTCCATTTCTCATAAATATGATTATGAGATTTGTGAACTTGTTTGCCCTCACAACAACATAAATTGAAATAAATTGGAAGAAAATTGAATTGGTCTACGTGTTCTTTCTTATTCTAACTTTCTTACTACAAATTAATTTTAATCAAAATTTTAAATTATAACTAAACTGTCAAAAATGTATTCGAAATAGCGCACGTCTGTCAAGGACGACTAGGTATTAAATATTATTTAACATCATTATGATTGTGTCAGGTTCAATATAACAATTTAATAATATTTATTTACTACATATGACAATAAAATATATAACATTTCTTTTGTTGTGTGCCACACATGTGATTGTTTATTTTTAAAAAAGTTTTCCACTATTCTATTATTGTACACTCTATTGTCCATTCATATGACACACATATTATCATTTTTAACTTACCGGCTCATAACACACATTTGTGCTAGTGAAAAAACTTAATAATTTAATGATTATAAATTTAATAAAAACATGAATGAAAAACAAACATTTAAATTATTTTTTCTCATTTCCATCAACAAATTATATTTTTTCATTTGCTCGTGCCTGTATGTAGTATGCATGTTGCTACACTCAACAAGAATTGTATTTAAATGTACAAAATGTTAATTACACACATATGTAGATGAAAATATATTTATTTTTTATAAAAAATATAAATTTGATTTTATAATTAACGGAAAGTGTATAAATTTTTAGTTTTTTTTTTTGTGAAATTAGTGATTAATATAAAAATATCAGTGTGTAAATTGATTAAGCAATCAAGAATGACAATGAGATCGGTAATAGCAATGCTTTTACCGAAAAATAGTTTTAGATATAATTCTAGTTATTCAAGAGAATAGATTTTGTTAATTGATTAAGTTTTTTTTTTGAGTGTAGTTACACCTTCATACACGCAACAATAATAACACTTTCTTTACATTTGTATTTGTACATTTGCATGCAACAAAACTAATTACATATAATAACAGTTTTTTGCAATAAAACAAATTTTTACATGATTATAATATATGAATATATAATTTTACAGATTACGCTCCTTTGGTGTTAAGCCAATTTTGGATTATTCCGTAGAAGAAGATCTTTCACAAGAGGAAGCTGAAAAACGTGAAGTCGAGTAAGTATTTATATAATGGATTTTACTTTTGAAATACTTTGTCCTTGGTTGCGGTTCTTCACATATAAGTACTGTTAGTCAATATCGGTGGACAAACCGAGTTGTATTTAAACCTTTTTAGACCTTCTTTCTTTCGACCAATTGAAAGGAGGATTTGTACTACATCTGCTTTTAAGAAATACACCTAGGTCGCTATCAAGGTGGGGAAGTACACAACACGCGTTATACGCGGCAACGCGTTATAGGGGTGAAATAGTGTATTATCATTCAACAAGTTACACACTGTAGTTTGTAACGCGTCTGCTCGGAAAGTTCAGCAACTCTCAACTTTTGACGCGTTGGCAACTGATCAGGGTTGTATTTTGTTTTATGTATAATAAGAATAAACTAAAATGAAACAAATTTCAACAACACTGAAAGAAAAATATTAAAATAATAAACAAAAACTTAAAATGTTGATTTTTAAAACAGTAATAGTCTTAAAAACATTAAAAGAAAGATCAAAACGACGCGTGATGTGTGACTTGCAGCTTGTAAAGCGCGAAAAGTTTGAAAAGCATAAAACGCGTTGCCGCCTCAACTCGTGTTGTGTACTTACACCTTCAGTACTATTGTGCGCTACTTTAGATGAAAAATGTTAGTGGGAAAAACCTTATGAAGGTATTATCGTGCGATCTTCAGAAACTGGGTTTCCTGGATTAAGTTTCTTAGAATTTTCCAATTAGTGTTTAATATCTGAAATAACATCGATCCCAAGATTTTTGGATCTAAATTCTACGAAAGCTTGGCAAGTGTTCCCAAGTTCCACGTTCTACATTCGTCTGAATCCAATCGTTCAATATTATATATTGGTCCCATAATATTATGTGTACACTCCTAATACGAACTATCACACTAACGTCGGACTTGATCATTCCGAGTGAACAAATTCATTCAACACGGATTTCACTGATTGATCATTTACATAAACCATGATAAATAGCCTCCTAAGGACCCTAACCGAGAAAGGTTTTATACCTGTCTGTTATGCAGACGATGTCGTAATAGTTCTAAGAGGCTCTAAACATGCCCTTGAGCTGGGCTCAACCTAGAGGCCTCAATGTTAACCCGGCGATGACGGAAATATGTCTTTTCACAATAAAGACAATAATTTCTGCGTATATTGAACCCTGTTTCCTGGGCAAAAATGGGCCTTAGTCCTACTATGACACATTGGCTTTATAAAAGTGTAATTAGACCAATTCTAAGTGGACTGCTGGTGGACTGCTTTGGACAAAAAGTGTAATATTAAACTACTACAAGTAGTTCAGCGTACGCACTACGTCAACCAAGGCTCTGGAAACAGTGCTAGATATTCCACCCATTGAAATATATATAATATATGAGGTGGCACTTACAGCCGAACGGCTCATGGCTCCATAACTTTAGGTGAACTGGCGAAAAGCGGTTATAGGACACGTCATCAACGAATACTGGACACATTGGAAGGCTATACACAATCATCGGACGTGCCCGATGGCATACCAGAGACAAAATATGTTGGAAAGTTTGAAACGCTGATCCCAGATACAATGTCTTGGTCAAGCGGAACTTTAGAGCAAATACCAGTAGGAATCCGTTGCTAGACCACGGATAGTTCTAAATTGGGAGATAAAGAGGGCCGGGGGATTTATATTGAAGACCCAGAAACAGAAATATACCACAACACTAGCTTCCATTCAGAAGTCCAAGCAATAACGGAATGCGTAAATTGGATTAGACTAAATATGGCGCCCACATAGCTTAACATATTTACCGACAGCCCGAAGGAAATTAGGATACTGGTTTGTAAAAAAGCTCTAATTGAATACTCTCCCAGGGTACCAGGCCACTCCTGAGTAGACGGCAATGAAAAAGCGAATGTTATAACTTTAAAGGGAAGGGAGCTTGAAGTAGTTAACCTGACGAACGAAAAACCATTTTAGGCAACGAGACTTAAAATTTTGGGTGCGAGAAACCCATAAAGTCTCCTTTAATAATGAAACGGTGGGTAGAACCCAAAGATCCTATGGGGTGACCCTAACGAGAGCAGGACGAGAAGAGTTCTCAAAATGAAAAAGTCTGATCTTAGTATGATGGAGAGAGAGAAAACAGTGAAACTCTGGAGCACTTTCTTTGCCATTGTCAGGCTTTCGCAGAAATTAGATCCAAATATCTTCGGAGTGATATTATTCCGGATATAACATCGGCGAAAGTCGGCGACATTTGAAAATATTTTAGATTCACTTTGGTTTTTACCATTTTCTTGTTTTTTTGTAATGTTGGCAACCATTGCAAAGGTCTTTCTTTCCAAATTGAATCGCGTGGCAATATACCAAAAGGTCCGCGATGAGGTTTAATAGTTTTAAGACGAACTAGACATGTCGGTTTGAACGTGCCTCTGTCTGGACCTAGAATCAGAAATGTTTGATATTGACATAAAGAGGAAAAAATTCTCAATCAGAAAAATAGAACAAAGTATCTGTACGTCCACTATTTTGGATAATGCAGTGGGAAACTATGTTTAAAGAACTTGGTATTCGTTTACTAGCATTTAGCGATTTTCAAGGCGAAAATTCTGCTGATTGTATTAAATAAATTAATATGTATCATTGTACATGAGCGCCCTTAAGATATCAAAGGACTTGATAAATACTCTATTCCCTCTTTTCAGAATATAAAAATTTTCAATATCTAATAACATTTTATATGTTTTTTACAGATCTTCTGTCTCCAGTGCTGGCGATGTTGATGAAGATGGTAGCATGCCCCAGTATCATGTCGATAAGTCATTTGCCGATCGCCGTTATAAGGTTAACAGTGCTAGAACTTATTTCTACTTGAACGAAGCTACTTGTGAACGTAATATGGAAACATTCATTAAATGTTTGGAAGCTGTTTCAGGTAAAATATTTCTTATAATTTGGCATTATTTTATTAACAGTTTTGTTCAAGTTTTTTTATATAGGAATTTTAAAAACTGTTTGTTTATTTGAATAATGCATGCATCAATTGTTTATTTTTAATAATTATATTTGAATTTGTTTCTTAATTATTTGAAATTTTTTTTTTTACGAAAAACAAATGTTTAAAAATCTTGTGCAGTTTATATATTTTGTTAAATTTTCTTATTAAGTCGTTTCCTGTTTTAGAAACACAAACATTTTAATTAGCTTACAATTATAAATTATAAATCTTAATTTTGTATTTTTGTGTGTTTTAGGTACACAGGTAGCACTATGTTAACGCGTTAGTTATACGAATTATTAAATGTGAGAATATTTGAAACAAAACAGAGAGTTTCCTTATGCGATCTTTCTTGGGTTATTGTTAATAAATAATGGTTCTCATTAGCTTTGTTACATATATAATAGGAACTTTAATTTCTACGATCTTACCCTTTTCTGAGTGTAGTGGTTTGTTCTATTCCTGATAATAAATATGAAAAGGGAGCCTCAAGTTATGTATAATAAGTATTATTATCCCGGGAACCTAAATAAGTAATGCAAACAATCCCCTGATTCCGTTTATATTGAAGGTGGGGATTTGAACTACTAAAGGCTCAGTTAGTTTCTACGATCCGATCCGTAATGAATCAGCTGCTCGCTGTTGGCTTTAGATTGACCTTGAGATTGCCGTTGCTTTTTTGTATGAAAAACACGAAGCAGCAAATTCGTCACGGAACGGAACGTAAAAACTAATTCAGCTTAAAAACTTATAATTGAAAAACATGTGTAAATTATAAAAACAATGTATTTGAATGTCATCTGTATAATAAACTTATTTAAATACTGACCAATTTATTTACAATCATGTACAGTTTTTAATGATTTTTTAACAGGTGTTTTTTTTTACAAAATTTCTTAAAAACAAGATTTATTTTATTCAATTTAAAAATGTTTCAATTATTTAATGACAGATGTTAATCTTAAATTTAAACGAAATATAATAGAAAATTTCCTCTACTTTCGAACACATAAAATGATTAACAAATCTTTTAACCCTGTAAAGTATATATAGGGTTTTTCAGTAACAATAACCGTTTTCAAATAAAACACTTTGTATGAAAACCATAACAAAGATGGAAACAGCTGTTTCACTTTTTTTGTGACTTGCGACTTGCTCGTTTTTTGAATCATATCAAAAAATAGAGTCATACGACTGTAAAATTTTGCATTCGTATTTTCTCTCAATGTGTGATGGTTTCATTACATATTGCGTTTGGACGATCCCATCCGTACTCTTCTACACAAAATTTTGACAGATCATAGTACTTGTGTACTCGTGTAAAGTGGACTTACTTTGACTGTGAGGTTGCCGTTGACTTTTTGTTTGAAAAGCACGAATCAGCTGATCCATCACGGAACGGAACGTAGAAACTAACAGAGCCTTTATGTGCGAAATGTTGTTAGATCTGTTAATGTACTGACAATAAAAAATTCTTAGTAACTGGTAAGACACGGTTCACATACAGCATCTTTTATTAAATGGAAGAGAATAAAGAAGAATATTTCTATCTCCTTCTCTTTCCCGCAAATTGTTTTGCCCTGTGTAAACCGCGTCTAAATTGTAAGTTTAGACTACTGTAAGGAAACTTTACAATTTCATTGCCAGACAATATTTTTATTATAAAAAATTTAATTTCTCAGTGCCAGTTCACATAGGGAAACTTTTTATTTTGTGTATGAGAGAAAGAGATGGTTGTTTTTTCTTACTCTTTCTCTCACACAAAATCAAAAATTTTCCCAAAAAAAGTTTGCCTGTGTGATCAAACACTCACTGTTGTCAGATTCTACCGGTCCACACTAGGAAACTTTTTTTGGTAAACGTTTGATTTTGCGTGAGAGAGAAAGAGAAAAAATATCATTCATCTCTCTCGCGGTACGGAGTTTCTCGTACTCGGAAACTTGTTTTATTTTGTTATTCTTCTCATTCGTACAACAACAAATCAATGCAATTAATACGTAGTTTCTCAAACAAAAGTTTCTATGTGTGGACATTAAGGAAATTTCAACTGAGAATTAAGAAAAAGTTTCTCAACAAAAGTTTCCTAGTGTGGACCAGGTCATTGTTGTATTGCAAAAGTTGCCAGATCCTTTTTATCTGCTTATGTTCTTTTAATGCTCAGTGTTGCATTTAGAAATAATTTATCTGTCAATGGTCGCATTAAACCAAATTGTTACTTTATTCGAAAACTATATTTGGATTTATTGCTAAACTACTAAAATGGTCTGTCCCTTACGTATACGTTTTTGGGTTAATTTAGTCATCACGCCCACTATTTGTAACCCGCTAATTATTATAATAATAACATATTACGGTAAAAATGTCATTTTAAGATAATATATTAACATGACCCATAATTTTTGGCAATAAAAAAGTAATTTTCAAGTGAAACGCCACACCCACTATACATATATTCCGCCCATTAATATTTCTATTACTAAAGATGTAGACAAAATGGTTGAATACGGTTGTACAAATCTTTATTTAACAGTTAAACATTTAGAAATATTCAATAGCTAGTTATTTTTGTGCGAAATACCACGCCCACTATTTTAATACCGCCCATTTTCATGTAAAATGGAAATGATGCCACGCCCACTATTCAGATTCCGCTAATTGTTTTATTACTAATATATAGATTAGTAATTAATTATTTAATTATTTTGTATTGTTTTGATACCGTCAGTTCAATTCTAACTTAAATTCGGAATAGAATTTGTATTTTCATGTAGTTAAAAGCGTTTTGAGATTTGTTCGAAAGTTTTATCTAAATTAAGTTCCATATAGAAGCTTGTTATGATTTTGACTATTAAATTATTGAAATTTTGTTTACTCCTTTATTATTGGTTTTAAAGTCAAATAAAACATTAAAATTTGTTTAGATTTAAACTTAAGTATTCTTAATGCATTCAATATTTGTTTATTGTTTATAAAAATCAAAAAAAGAAATCTTTTACTCTAAAATTTAAAATAAACTTATTTGTTATAAAACAAATCATTAAACATAAATAAAATTTCAAAAACACAACGCATATTTTTCTATATAAAAAACTAAAATCTATTATTTGCTAATTTCAAAATTTTTGCAAAACAAAACAAAGCAAATATTTATAATTTATCTAAAATCTTTTTTTTATATTTTATTTATTTTGTCTATTTCTTTGTTTCAGTTTTCATGCGAAAATGAAACTGAATTAGATGTTTTTACGAGTTTGAATATTTATTATGTAGCATTTTTAAACAGATGAATCTTTCTTTAGACGAAAATCATTTGAACATCTTTTTTTTTCTGAAATAAATATACAACGACATTTTGTTAAATATGTACCAAAAATAAATAAAAAACGTGTGGAAACATTGCCAAGAAAATTAACGTTAAAATAGTACATATATTTTCAATGTATTTGAAAATATTTTAACAATATTGTGTTTTTTCTTTCAATACGATTTCGGTTCATATAATTGTTGGATAAATTTGTCTAAGAAAAATGTTCTTACGAAATTTATACTATAAAATATTAAACGAATAACTAAGTATATTGTATAAGATAAAAAAAGGAAAATAAATTAAGTAGAAAACAAAAACAAATTTAAGCAGATGCTTTTTGTCACACGATTTTTCAAATCGGCTGACGAAAATCGTAGGTCTTCATCTTTTTTCTTTCAATTTAAAAGTACAGACACACATATTTATAGTATTTTTATATAAACTTATTTAAACAACAACTACAGTAGTTGGTTAAATAAATGAAGACTTTTAAGTTTAATTTTTTTTGTAATCATACAAAATCAAATTTTATTCTTAAATAAAAATCCTCCTATCACAAATTTTTTGCAGTGTAAACAATTGACAGCTGTTACAAACACAATCAACTATTGTGAATAAATAGTTTTCGTATCATTCATGATAGCAAATGTTTACAAAAAAGCTATTCACATTATTTAAAGAACACTATGCCATTCCTTGGGAATGTTCTTTTTATTCCTTAACTTAATTCTATTAAAATACATTTGACCACATCTGTGAGACAGAAACCATAAATTTAGTCTCATTTAAATTTATCTGTTTTATTTATTAACCAAAAATGTTTTATTACACATTTGTTTTATTTGCATTACTAATTTTTTTGTCTACATTTAACAACAATTTAATCAATTGAATATATACAGGGTGTTATAAGTCTGGTAGTATTTAATAAGGTCTAACAACTGGTTTGTTATAATACAGTGGGTGAAATCATAAGATAAATAGACAAAATTATTAAGATAATTTCATAATTCACAGTGTCGGCTACGATATCTACACAGAGGGAAAAAGAAATATACACGCCCGGTACCAAATCAAACTGCTTGAAATTTTTCAATACCATCCGTTGTCAAAGTATATACATACGTACGACAACACTATGTAATGTTGACAACATTGCAACAATTCGTTGTCGAAATCTATATTTTATACACATCCGTTATCTAAATATTAACAAACGTGGTAAGCTCACAATTGACAAACGAATTGTTGCAATGTTGACAACGTTGCTTTGTCAACATTACATAGTGTTGTCGTATGTATGTATATACTTTGACAACGGATGTTATTGAATAATTATAAACTCTTTGTTGTCAATTTGGTACCAGGCGTGTATATTTCCTTTTCCCTCTGTGTAGATGCTTTAACTTGTGTCCAGTTGAGCTCCTTTTTTACAGACTTAATTTGATTCGTTAAACATATATTTCATGATCCATCTAAATCGAACTGCTTGTAGACTTACCTATTATTATTTGATGCTTTCCTCAGCATGTGTCCAATGCACAAGGCGATCTTCTCAATTAGTATTTGTTTGCACTTTTTGGGGCTACAAGCTTCCTTAACATGGTTAAACAGATGCTTTTTCAAGACACTCCACTAAAGGTCCGACTAACCTTCCCCATCTTGTGGTTGTGATTGGAATCCGACATTACCTTTAGTCTGTCGGGACTATAAACTGTTGGTGTCAAATGCATCCTTAGCCTTTCCTTAGAATGATTTGATCTGGGGTCGAACCTTATTTAGTACCACGAGAACTGGTAGCCCGTAGGGCGAGAAGAGAATGTTGGTAAAATGGTGAAATCTATATTTCTGGATGAATTCTGTGCTGTTGTCATAAAGACAACAGATACCCCTAACAGAAATGACTGTGGTGCTAAGCGTTGAAAGTGGGTTGGTTTCAAATAGATAAGATACAGAATGAATGAAAAGGTATAGGGGCCTCGTCCACCCGTATACCTTTAATAAATATGTTGGATGTTTTTGTCAATGTAGGTGTCAGATAAATGAGAAGTGTGCTAAGTTGAAGTGTGATGGATGTAAGCTGAAGGGTGATTTCCCTTCCTTATCAAGATACATATGTTACAGGGTTTACTTTGTTTTTAACAGACTTACCACAGTGTGTTCTCTGTGGGTAAGATCTCATCTCGGAAGTTAAGCAACCGGGAAGCAATGGTCGGCGATTAGATAGCTCAAGTACTCGAGCAAAGCGATTCTACATGGACCGGCAGAACGATGTGCAAAAATTGCCAAAGTGCAAGGCACACAAAGAAGCGATGTTAAGTCTGTTAAATCTCACCCTGTGGATGTGAAAGTACCACCGTGAAATACGCCGTTTGGCCGAAAAAAGTTAAATATTAGAAACATGATTTCCATTTATTTTAAAAGTTATTGAGAACCATTATTTAGGACTCTGTTACCTTTAAGGATTTAATGCTAAGACTTCGAGTCACAAATCGTATATTTCTTTTAGATTTTTAAAAAATAGGTCTAAAATTTAAAGTTTTTGTACTTGATGTAAAATAGAATTTCCGGAATATTTCTTGATTAAATACAAGTCCAATGTTACACCAGATAAAAGGAGTACTGAAGTTTGTAAAAATCTAAAATTAGAAACTGTAATTAATTAATTACTTGAGATATAATTAAAGTTAAACTGTGATTTGTTAAACTCTTTTTATAGTAAGCGATTAGTTAAATATGATTCATATTTAGAAATAGTATTTTAATTTTAACTAATCACAATAGTTAAAACCGATTTTTAGATATTATACAATAGTTTAAACCATGATTAGTTAAACACGCAACGTTTTGTTTTTTTGTATTCAAACAAATCTGTTTTTCTAATTTAATTTATTATTAACCCAAAATTATTTACATTTTAACTAATTTATTTTTATTGTTATTATTTTTTTATATATATTTCAACAAATATTAAAACTCAATTGGCACAATTACTAATCATTAACAATCATCATGAAATTAACCCAACGAATGTTGCATCTCCCATTTACCTGATCTAATCCAACGTATGAAACAACAATTTCGCCTGAAAAATATTGTGAATTGAAATTAAATGCAAACGAAAAACCATTGAAACCCAACAATTTCAAAATCAATTTAATCTCTTTAATGTGTATGTGTGTGCTGGGCTATTGTGGGTGTGTGTAAACTGAATATACTAAACCCCTTTTCCCGGCGCCACCTGTGAACAAACTCTCGTTGCTGGTCGTCTCAAATGCAATTAATATTAATTTGATCTACGTCATCAAAATGTTCAATTTATTAAATTACCCAACTGCAACGAAACGAATCCAAAAACCAATCCTTCTCTATTACATTTATTTTTTACTTTTCTTTATTGTTTTTTTTTATTTATACAATATTTATTTTTAAATTTATTTTTTTTTAAATTATTTATTACTAATACTATAACTCCTACACTTTTGCTATAAATGTGCATAAAATGAAAAAAAGTCGACGATGAAAAGTATTTCCCTCGACGCATAGCAGAGGGTAAGCTTACAAACAAACTAACCTATCAACTAACAATCCAATCTTAATCCATTTTAATTTCTATTAGTGGTTACTAAATGTTGTTTTATGTTCATTTGTTGTTGTTTTACAACAAGCAGAGATGTAAAAGAATTAAATCCGTATATAATAATATACATAGTTAAATATGTCATTACAATAGTTTTGAAACACTCTTTCGCTATAAAAATATTGATCGTAGACAACTCTATGTTTTGTCTAAAGTCTTGGGTTAAGACTTCAGAATTGAAATTAATTAAACACATTTTTGACTGGCAGGAAGTTCAGCGCCCTAAAGGTTTTACAGGATTGTTCAGAATCTTATGCTAAAGAATGTGGAACTAGAGCTTAAAAATGACCCTTCGAGAATTAGAATGCAAAAAGTATTAAGTAGAAAATACAAAGAAGTTGTAGAACTATGAATATGATGGGGAACAAGAGAAAGAGATGGGACACAAAACGATCATTCCAAAGTCTGTTTTAGTTCCGTATAAAGGGCAGAACGGGGAACTATCGTTTCTTCTTTATCCTCCATATGAAAACTCCTACAGCAATCGTTAAAATTTTACAAAATTATCTAATCCAATTAAGATAATAAGACCAAATAAAACGATCATTCCAAAGTCTGTTTTCGTTCCGTATAAAGAGTAGAACGGTGAGCTATCGTGTCCTCTGTTTCTTAATTAAAGAAACTCTTACAGGAAGTATTACATCGAAGGGTTCCAAGTTTACAGTAGCTAGCTATATATCTACCTTCTATCTGAGAATGATGCAGAGCCAAAAGATATGAGACCATTCTAGACCATAGAACTCTAGGGATCGTGTAAATATGCTCAAGTGATTTGTTCATCATCATCAAACTTCAAGGAGTTAAGATAACTTCCTTTCGACTAATGTTTCCGGAATTGCTTTTAATTCTAGTATAACCATTTGAACAGAAGTTCCATTTGTCAAAACCATATCAAACTTGAAGAAGATGGGAGAAGTTCCTGTCGAAGAATGGTTCCAGAATACAATAATAGACTTCTATAATCATAGTATGATCATAGTTTTGATTAGGTTGTCTACTAAAGTCACTAGTGGAATATAGATCAACTTAAATCATCTGTTCAAGTAAACATACTGCAAGCTCAGTTTCAGAACATTATACTGGTGATTAATGGCCACTACAATCTTGGTCTTAATGCTGAAAGCTTTCGCGCGATTGACTGTGTTTGACAAATTAGTGAATAAAAGTTTAAAGGATTTAAATAACAAGTTCCAGGTGGCTTATTGATATCTCCAAATTGACTGATACTATGGTTTCCTGTTGAAACCAATATACATATAAGTTGTAAAAATAGCGCTTCAGTAGATTTTGTTCTAATAGTATCTGTAATGAGAATAGCGGTTGATCTTATAACTTTTTTAAAAAATAGCCGGCACGAAGACTTGTCATAGTTTTAGTAGTTCTCGGGAGTACATTTAAAACTCTTGATAATTTTCTATTAAGAATAACGTTAAGGTGTTTAAAACTATATTAAAGCAATGACATCTAACCATTTAGACAAAATGGAAGGAGTTAAAAATTCTTATAATATCCAAAGAATAGCACAAGTTCCATTTTTTCAGAATTTCCACTCAGGCCTGGGATCGAATTAACGCATACGTGATCGAATAGGCATTCGTATCGAAATTAAGATAAAATGTACTTAATTTCTTGTTCGATATCGAATGTTAACATCTTAAAAAGAAAAATTACAATAATTTTTACTCGATCTGTTAACAGAATTATTGTTTCAAGAGCTTAAGATCTTAAAGGCTTATGTCTTAAAGAAATTTGACTTTGAGAACAAAATTTGCGAGCAGAGTTTTAATAAATCTAATATTTTTATACTTTAAATAAACAAGTATTGAATTGAAAATTATGAAAACAATTTTAAGAATTGATTCTTTTGCATCTCTGTTTTGTACTAAGTAGTTGTATTTTGATTGTAGTAAAAGGTTTCTGTAGTTGTTTCTATTCTGTTTATATGTAAATAAAAGTAAATAATATAAGTTAAATATATAAAACGGAACATTTATACATACAAACATACATACATGTACTATATACAATCATGATTCCATACTTACATATATACATACATAATTCAATTTATGTTTTGAATTGAAGTTTTTGGTAGATTATCAAAAACAAATATTTATCAAAATTTGTTGATATCTGAACAAAATCAGAAGCAAATCCCAATTTTCAAATTCTTATTCCAAATTTTCAATCTTTAAATTCACAAAATCATAATTTTTAAATTAAATTTAATAAAAAAAATTGCAATACATTTAGTGTTAGATGTGACACTTGAAATAAAATACGCAGTTAAGAAAAATCTTTTGTCTTGTGTATATCATAAAAAAAAATCTCATTATTATAAATGTCTTAAAAAATAAATACAAAAAAGAACAGTACTCGTTAACCAATAGATGACACTGATCTAAGTATCTGTCATCATTATATTTCATTAATGGCCAATGTCCAAGAAAAGTGTACGACCTTGACCTATGTACTTATATTAGAAATATTGTGGGCTTTCTAATAATTTATAATGTATGCACTCACAGACTGTCAAGCAAACATTTGTGGAGGCTACCAATTGCTCTCTCATTTGTGTACATTATTATTCATTAAGAATATTTCATAATACATACATTCATAAACAATACGTTTAAACATTTTAAAGAATTTATAATTTTTGAAAAATGCTTTATGATTGTTTGTTGTTGCAGCATAATTACTTTAAAATATTGTTTATTTTGTAATTATCCTTGAAATTTACTTTATATGTTTTATATTTTTTTAATTCTATTTTAGGCGCAACCTTTGGTACTGGTATTACAGCTATTAAATTAACCGCCCTGGGTCGTCCTCAACTTTTGGTATGTTGCATTTTATTTATATGTATTTTGTTTTTGTTGTAGATTGTATTTTTATATAGAAAAATTAGAAAGTAAAGTCCATTTAATAGCCCTCAGTGCTCGTGACGGCTATAATATTCCTCCCAAGATACTCCCTAAATACTCTCTAAATGAGATTGCGAGACATTCCGAATAGGGACTTTGCTGAATTTCATAACAGCAACAGTAACGGACCTGTGGGAAACCGATAGACCTATTTGTATTCTTGGCGTATATCTGGAATCCACACTCATTGGATCGTGTGACTAAAAGTAGACTAACCTAGATCATCTGTCCCAGTAAACTTAGCGCGTGTAGAGTTTCGCAACATTATAGCGGTGGTTACTGGCCTCTGCCCTTTTGGTCATTATGTAGGGAAATCTCAAAATAAAAGGGCGAAACATTCTGAATAGGGACATTGCTGAATTTCATGACATCAACATAAGTATCTATATGGAAATTGAGTATATTTTGAAACAGTAACGGTCCTGTAGGAAACCGATAGACATATTTGTATTCTTGGCGTAGATCTTGAATTCACTCTCATTGGATCATGTGGCTGAAACTATACCAACCTAGATCATCTGTCCCAGGAAACATCGTGAGAGCTGAGTTTTGCAACATTGTATTGGTCAGCCTTTTGGTCTTTATCCCTTGCTTTTTGATCAAATATCCCTTGACTTCTGCGTTCGTGCAACTGACTTTCTTTGATAGGATGTTGTTTTTGTAACAGGTTGGCTGTAAATGGATGTTCTTCCCTGAAAATATTCAATAAGATTAATTATTATTATCATGAGATAATAATATATATATCATGAGATGTTATTGGAAGCTGGAGAAATTGTGTCACTTCACTCGGTCTTAGACATATGTAGGTCTATGGGAGTAAAGTTAGTGGTCCTATGCTGACAATTTAATAGGTGCACTGTGTCATGAGGGCTTTGAAGACAGGCAGGGCATCGGTTAAGGGGGTCTGGAACAATTCGTTCTTGGTAGCAGTTGAGAATACTGCTCCTACCAGGTCTTAACTGAATTAGTGTGGAACGAGTTTGCCTATGTAATTGCCTCTCAATATCCGAAATCGCGGGTGGTTTAAGACTTTATTGCACTTGTAGCCATTAATGGCTTCTGTAACCGCCGTTTGGTACAATGCCTTCTGCGCGTTTATTATCGACAATCTGTCGACCTCAGATGGGATGACGTCCTGGATGTCTGTAATATAACACCGAAAGTCTGACCGAATGTTTTCACCGTTTCCAAACGGTTGCCAACCTTGCCTTTTTCGTATGTGTGGTGAAAATTTCCAATTGATCAGGAAATATAATTTATTTTCATATTCTTAAAAATAATATCGTTATCCAATAGAACAGAATGAGCGAAGTACCAAACAATTTAAATTAGACAAAATGCTAACCTCTTACCTCTTCAATTAATCCTGTCATATGTTCATTCAAAAGTTCTATTTTAAGACAATTCGTATAATTTATTTTTAGATATTATTAAAAGTCATTGCACTTATGAGAAACTCCCACTCGCTCTCTTTACTTTCTTTAATTTATTTAATTATATAATAGTTCAACAGAATTTCTTTGCGTGTATGAAAACTTGTGTATTTTGTAATTATACTTTTATATGTCGTAGTCTTACATCATATCCTTTATTTTTTTATTATCACTATTATTACAGTTACAACTTTCTGAAGTCATTATGCGCACACGTAAATATATGGAAGATTTGGTTGGTGGTCAAGGCAATGTTTTAACTCATCACAAGACTATTAAGGATTTGGAAAAATATTATGCTAGTTTGGGCTCTGACAATAAAAATGTTCAAGAATTTCTTAAGAATGTTACCTCCGATAAAGAAGGGTAAATACATATAAAACTATTTCGTAATATAGATTAAAGATATTAATAAATTTTATTTCTAGTATTTTGCATTTGTTCCCCTGGTCTGGTATTGTTGATGAGGATTCACAATTGAGTGATACCTTTAGAGTGCCCGATCCTAAAACAGGTCAAATGCGTCGTTTGATCTCACAAATTCCGCCCAAAGAGGAAGAAATGTTTAGAAATATGATTCGTCGTCTAAATACTATTGTTAAGGTGGGATATAGATTACACTGTAATAAATTTTAGTTTATAAAAAATTGAATTTTATTTTCTGTTATTAATTTAAAGACTGCTGAAGAATTGGATGTCCGTATTATGATTGATGCTGAACAGACTTATTTCCAACCTGCAATCTCCCGCATTACACTCGAAATGATGCGTAAATACAACAAGGACAAGGCCATTGTATTCAATACATACCAATGCTATTTGCGTGAAGCCTATAGAGAGGTAATTTACACTCTCTCTCTCTTAAACAAAATTTTTGTAATAAATTGTGTATCTTTAATAGGTTAACACCGATTTGGAACAAGCTAAACGTCAAAACTTCTATTTCGGTGCTAAGTTGGTACGCGGCGCTTATATGGAACAAGAACGTGCCAGAGCTAGTGCTCTAGGTTATTCTGATCCTGTCAATCCTAGTTATGAGGCTACTACTGAAATGTATCACAAGACTTTAACAGAATGTTTGAGAAGAATTAAGGTATGTTTTTTGTTGGTTTTTTTAAGAAATTGGTTTTGAAAATAGTTTGTTCTTATGATTTTAGATACTCAAAGATAATGGTGAAGATGCTAAAAAGATTGGTATTATGGTGGCTTCCCACAATGAAGACACTGTACGTTATGCCATTGAGAAAATGAAGGAAATCGGTATTTCGCCCGAAGACAAAGTTATTTGCTTCGGTCAACTGTTGGGCATGTGTGATTATATTACTTTCCCCTTAGGTGAGAAAAACTTAAAAGTAGTGTTGTCAATATAACCATAACCCGTCATATCATGTAACAAAAACCGCTAGAAACCTAGATACTATAGACTAAACTATAGACTGGACTAAAGAATAGATTATAGACTAGACTATAGAACAGATCATAGACTAGATTATAGACTAGACTATATACTCGACTATATACTAGAATATAGACAATACTCTAGACTAGACTATAGACTAGACTAAAGACTAGACTATTGACTGGATTATAGACTAGACTAGACTATAGACTAGACTATAGACTAGACTATAGACTAGACTATAGACTAGACTATAGACTAGACTATAGACTAGACTATAGACTAGACTATAGACTAGACTATAGACTAGACTATAGACTAGACTATAGACTAGACTATAGACTAGACTATAGACTAGACTATAGACTAGACTATAGACTAGACTATAGACTAGACTATAGACTAGACTATAGACTAGACTATAGACTAGACTATAGACTAGACTATAGACTAGACTATAGACTAGACTATAGACTAGACTATAGACTAGACTAGACTATAGACTAGACTATAGACTAGACTATAGACTAGACTATAGACTAGACTATAGACTAGACTATAGACTAGACTATAGACCTAGACTATAGACTAGACTATAGACCTAGACTATAGACTAGACTATGACTAGACTATAGACTAGACTATAGACTAGACTTAGACTATAGACTAGACTATAGACTAGACTATAGACTAGACTATAGACTAGACTATAGACTAGACTATAGACTAGACTATAGACTAGACTATAGTAGACTATAGACTAGACTATAAATAGACTATAGACTAACTATAGCCTAGACTATAGACTAGACTAGACTAGACTAGACTATAGACTAGACTATAGACTAGACTATAGACTAGACTATAGACTAGACTATAGACTAGACTATAGACTAGACTATAGACTAGACTATAGACTAGACTATAGACTAGACTATAGACTAGACTATAGACTAGACTATAACTAGACTATAGACTAGACTATAACTAGACTATAGACTAGACTATAGACTAGACTAGAATAGACTAGACTATAGACTAGACTATAGACTAGACTATAGACTAGACTATAGACTAGACTATAGACTAGACTATAGACTAGACTATAGACTAGACTATAGACTAGACTATAGAATAGACTAAGACTAGACTATAACTAGACTATAGACTAGACTATAGACTAGACTATAGACTAGACTATAGACTAGACTATAGAACTAGACCTATAGACTAGACTATAGACTAGACTATAGACTAGACTATAGACTAGACTATAGACTAGACTATAGACTAGACTATAGACTAGACTATAGACTAGACTATAGACTAGACTATAGACTAGACTATAGACTAGACTATAGACTATAGACTAGACTATAGACTAGACTATAGACTAGACTATAGACTAGACTATAAACTAGACTATAGACTAGACTATAGACTAGACTAGACTATAGACTAGACTATAGACTAGACTATAGACTAGACTATAGACTAGACTATAGACTAGACTATAGACTAGACTATAGACTAGACTATAGACTAGACTATAGACTAGACTATAGACTAGACTATAGACTAGACTATAGATTAGACTATAGACTAGACTATAAACTAGACTATAGACTAGACTATAGACTAGACTATAAACTAGACTATAGACTAGACTATAGAATAGACTAGACTATAGACTAGACTATAGACTAGACTATAGTCTAGACTATAGACTAGACTATAGACTAGACTATAGACTAGACTATAGACTAGACTATAGACTAGACTATAGACTAGACTATAGACTAGACTATAGACTAGACTATAGACTAGACTATAGACTAGACAATAGACTAGACTATAGACTAGACTAGACTATAGACTAGACTATAGACTAGACTATAGACTAGACTATAGACTAGACTATGGACTAGACTATAGACTAGACTATAGACTAGACTATAGACTAGACTATAGACTAGACTATAGACTAGACTATAGACTAGACTATAGACTAGACTATAGACTAGACTATAGACTAGACTATAGACTAGACTATAGACTAGACTATAGACTAGACTATAGACTAGACTATAGACTAGACTATAGACTAGACTATAGACTAGACTATAGAAAACTTGATATTTGACGGGAAAACGTGAATTTGGCAACAAAATTTTTAATACGAAATACATTCTAATATATTTTCGGTGTTTTCGTTTTTCAGGTCAAGCTGGTTACTCGGCCTATAAGTATATTCCCTATGGTCCCGTTCAAGAAGTGTTGCCATATCTCTCACGCAGAGCACAAGAAAACAAGGGTGTCCTTAAGAAAATCCAAAAAGAAAAACGTCTTTTAGCTGCCGAATTACGCCGACGACTGTTGCGTGGTCAATTGTTCTACAAACCCAAGGGAAATTATGTACCCATTTAAATTGTTCCCTCTACTTTGGCCACTCTCACACATACACACAAACACACACCCTAAAAATAACACAAAAACTCATAAAAGAAAAAACAAAACACATTTGCATACTTACAGGCGCTACATTTTCAAAAAAAAAAGTAAAGTGGAAACACACATTTTAAAGCAACAATTTTGAAATCTATTAAACAAAAACAATATTTATTAAATTGTATTTTACACAAAATTAAAAAATTTTAAACAGAATTCAAATACTGCTGGATACAGTTAGCTGAAATATTGGTTATTGAACGTCTTCAAATGTTGTCTGTATGTCCATGTGTTTTGAAATGGAAAAAGAAAAATAAAAATTAGAAGAAAGTAGAATAGTTAAAGAATCGAATCAAAACGAATCTAGCATTTTCACTACTCATTAATTTAACAAAGAGAAACAAAAGATCTAATTATAAAAAGTATGTCATGGATTTTTTTAAAGAAAGACTATAAGAAAAAGTGTTTCGAAATGTTGCTGTTAAATTGAAAAACTATTTTGTAAAATTTAATTTAAAAAAATTTTTTGTAAACTGTCAAAAAAAACTAAATGTAATGTAATTGTTTTAAATTTAAAAATTTGTTTTTGTTTCCGAGTCATGTATTGTAATTGTAAACGTTTATCTATTTATTAAGTACATACACACACCCACATACAAACGCCTCCACAGGGATGTTAAAAATAGTAGGGAATTTTTCTTATTTCAATATTTAACATATTGCAAATTCTAATACAAACTACAAACTTTCTATTTCCTTTAGGTTTTCTTTTTTTCTTAAACAAAAACTTTTAAATTTGCCTTTTATTTTAATTTATAAAAGAAATTTTGTAAATTTTTTGTTTTCAACTCTGGTTGTTTTAAAATAGTTTGTATTTATCTTCGTATCCTCGTTGTTTTAGAGAGAGAAAAACAAAAAAATAATTTTACATTTTTTAAAATTCATATTTTAAACTATAACTATTTATGTAAATGTTTGTCTTATATTTTCTTTAATTTACTATTCAGTGTAAAATTGTTTTTGGCCGTTTTTTTGTAAATGTTGTCTTCTTTTCGTTTTGTAAAATCTTATTATTTTAAAATTGATTTTTAAAATAAATTAAGCATTATTTTTTTATTATTTCTCTTGGAAAAAAAAACAAAGATTGTATAAATAAAAATATTTAAGTTAACTTTTAAATTATATTTGTTTGTTGCTTTTATTTTCATTTCTTTTTAATTTTATTATTTCAACACCCTGTATTTTTATTTGTATTATTGTGTAATTTTACTATTTTGTGTTTTTTTTTTTAATTTTTATTTATATTATTATTATTATTTTATTTTAGTATTAAATCAATTATGTTTTAATTTCTTAATTTTATTTACAAAACTTATGTACGTTTAACAGTAAATAAAAGTAAATAAATTTCTGAAAATATCTTTAAAAAAAACTGAACAATTCAATATTTCTTTATTTTAAATATCTGCTACTTGAGTGTGAAATGTAGAGACTTATTTCTATATACAGGTGTGAGCAAAATGTTGGTGAGAAATTTTTTAAAATGAATGCGATACATTTCGACTAATTTGTGTATTTCGGGAATAAAAATAGTTCTTAGCTTGTCAGCTAAAGCAGATACAATTGTTCAATTGAATATTTAATCGTGAACGACCCGACTTATACTCGGTCAAAGTTTGTCAACTCAGCAACAGTTGTATCAGCAGAAAGATTTTTCCCCAAGAAGACAGTATCGAACTGTTATAAAAACAACAACAACTTTTGTTCATAACATTCCCGGGCCAATTGGATTCTCATTCCGGAACGACCCGATTTAGTCAAATATATCTTCAAATATTGTCAACTCAGCGACAGCTGAGTTGATTCTCTCCCAGCAATGCATTATCGGCTACTGTTGAACTGTCACCGCTATCGCCAATAGAAGTGAAATTTTTGTTCCCTTGAAATTTTCATTCATGAACTTGTTGTAAACAATTCATTCACAATAGTTGATTTTGTATGCAACAGCTGTTCAATGTTTACAAAATAACATCAACAAATTTCACAACAGTGGAATTTTTTTCACGACAAAAAAGCTTGTGAACTTAAAAAGGTGAAAAGGGAACATATTTCACCTAAAATGTTGATTGGCTATAGGGGTGATTATAAAGGTGACGGTAACAGTTACAATAAAAACCTATTGTAATATTAAATATTTACAATCTAAAACCCTGAAATTCCTGAAGATCTTGGAAAAGATCTATGTACTTAATAAACATGACTATTTTTGTATGTATTAGTTTCCATTTCTTTATTCTCTTACTTTTTTCGGAATCCTAGTTATCATTTCGATGTTAGATTCCATTAAGTTTGTTATTATTAAAGGAATCAATAGTGGAAACCCTAATCGGACAGATGTCCACCACGATTTTACATACAGAAGTCTTTTATCCAAATTTTTAATCACATTTTGGCAAAATGGAGGATTTACTCAGTTAATCTGATTAGGGATCTTGAGTTTTATAGTTGTAATCGATTTGATTTACTCTGTATAAACTTTGAACTGAAAGAAACCCAATGAGGTGTAAACCTAATTAGCAGAGCGGCCAATTAACAGTGAAACTTTGCGATCGTGAAATCTGGTTTCCACCGACCTATTGAACCCCAATGTCCTTGATACATATATCATCTATAATTGTCCAAAATTTTGCCTGAAAAAATTACGTTATCGTGATCGCCGATTTCCGATCTAACATTACGGTTCACAGCTGCAGTACTTTCACTTAAACGCCTCAGTGGAACATGTATTGGTGCTGGCATATTCTATAGTTAACCAGTGTTGACAACGCAACGTTGTCAACATTGCAACAATTCGTTGTCGAAATCTAAATTTTATACACATCCGTTGTCTAAATGTTAACAAACGTGGTAAGCTCACTATTGGCAACGGATTGTTTGTTAATAGTAAGCTTACCACGTTTGTTAACATTCAGACAACGGATGTGTATAAAATTTAGATTTCGACAATGAATTGTTGCAATGTTGTCAACATTACATAGTGTTGTCGTGCGTATGTATATACTTTGACAACGGATGGTATTGAAAAATTATAAACAGTTTGGTGTCAATTTGGTACCAGGCGTGTATATTTATTTTTCCCTCTGTGTACGATTCCACTCACCTTTTAATTTCAACCTGACATACGACATATTCATATGCGAAAAAGTGTCAATTACTATTAGAGAAATTCTCATGAAACATTATAACAAATTTGCTAGAATTTTGCTCATATCTGTCAAGAAGTATGTAAAGGAGTGTAATGTATAGAATGAATAATAATACTAGATTTAAAATTCTTTGTTTTATTTTGGCTCCAATTATTCATTTCTAGGTGTGATCCATTGCAAACAATATATAATTGGAAATTTCATTAGAAAATGTATTTAATTGAGTAAATAATAAAAAAAGGGAGTAAATAAATATTATAATTAATAATGTTAACTAAATAAAAATGACAATAATAATTAACATGTTAAAATAATAAATAAAAAGAATGAAATTAACAAAACACACACACAAAACACTATTAACAAAAAGAACCTTAATAAAAAAAATTAAAAGTAAATTCAACATTTTCATAAAAATGTTCTTTATTATTAAATTTACAATTAATAATTGTATTAATGTTTTAAAAGAAAATACTACACAAAAAACCTTAAACATATTTACTACATGCTTAAAAAAAAAGCTTTTAGTTTAAGCTGCTAATTTTTATTTTCACTTCCGTTTCCTTCTTCTTAGGGGAAGGGAAACCTTTCTCCATTATTTCTTAAACTTGTTAGTATTAAAAATCGTGTAGTTCCTTTTTTTGATATAGATTTTTTATTAATTTTTTAATTAGAATTTCTTTTAAATTTATTTACCCTTAATTAATTATATATATAAAAATTGCTTTTATATTAAAATGTAATACAATTATTAAATAGACAAACATAATGAAAACTCTAGTTCTATTTTATAAATAAATTAAACATAATTATTCATGACTTTACTTGCATTATTATTATGTATATGTATAATTATATAATTAAAATAATTATTAAAAAACAACAACAACAACAAACAAACAAATATTTATTGAAAATCGTTCTTATGTAATGTGTATTTGCAAAAAAAGTTTTATTGTACTCATGAAATGATATTAAAAATAAAAACAAAAATGAAAATAAATTAAATAAATAAATATTTCAGTGTTAAAACAATAATAAACAAAAAGTTTTCATTTCATTTTAAAAAATTGGTTTTATTAAAATTGTAAGTTTAATTAGAATAACTTTAAGTTGTTAAAAGGGCTTCCATGTTAAATGCTTTTATATCGTGAAATATCATAATTGTATTAAAGCAGTGGTCGGCTATTATTTTTTTTTAATTTTTGATCAAACTCGTGTCATTTATGACTATTCTGCATGATTAAAATGATCCCTTATGAGCTCATTTTCCGAACATAAATGATTCATTCGTCGGGAAAAAAGATACCTTATTTGCTACCCTTATAGAAGAAACTTTTATGAGCCCCACTTCTTATCAGTTCGGATCTCATTTTAGTATCTATTTGGAAAAGAAATACTGATCGATTTAGAGTAAGTTTTGAATCATATTTTAGTCATTTTTGAGCCTTTTCTAAATCATTTTTATGATTGTTTCAAACAAATACAATGATCTTCAGACTGAGGGACTGGATGAGAGTCATTTTTGAATCATATTTTAGTAATTTTTGAGCCTTTTCTGAGTCATTTTTATGCTTGTTACAAACAACCCAGCTAGCAAATTTTTGATCACATTTGAGTCATTTATGACTCTTTTACACGAGAAAATTATACCCTATCCGCTTTATGAATATTTTATCAGCCTCATTTCTTATCAGTTGTGACTTATTTTTTAAACTTTTTTGAGTCATTAATGAGTCGAATTACTGATCGTTTTAGAGTATTTTTCGAAACGTATTTTAGTAATTTTTGAGTTTTTTCTAAGTAATTTTTATGTCTGTTACAGACATAATTAGATTCTTAGTTTAGTGATTAGCCCAACCCTGTTAAAAACTGGAAGACTTTCATATTTTTATTTTTTTTTTCTCGATTCTAGAAAACTACAGAAACGAGGCAACGGATGATAAATTTATGATTGTTATACCATTTGTTCTTGTTTTACAAATAATATGTTTTTATACCCTACACCACTTTAGTGGGTAGAGTATATAGTATTTGTGCTGTTATTTGTAACGCAGAGAATTAATTGTCCTATACCCATCTTTAAGTATATCAATCAACTCAGAATCTTTTTTTGAGTGGACTAAGCCATGTCCGTCCGTCTGTCAGTCCATGTAAACCTTGTAATCAAACTACAGTTACACACATAACTTTGAATCCAAAGACCAACCCTATTGATTTTGGTTGTTATGGATCTATTATTTCACATAGCCCTCATATAACTGGACCCCCTAAATAGTGATTTGGAGCTCGTAATTATGACAAATATACTAATATCACTACAAAAATACGTTTTATACAAGCATAAATGATACTGCAAAATTTCGTAATGAGCGGTCCTTATTTAACCCTAGCCCCTTGCAAAGCCCCCCTTTTAAATTGCTTGAACGTCGTTAATTCCCTGATGAACACATGAATTTCAATGAAATTCAGCATAAATAACATTAATGTCACCAAAAACCCCTCCACCAAAAATTTGTTAGGATCGGCTCATAATTGAGCCTAGCCTCCATATATAGCCTCCATCAGAAAATCATTTTTTCATCAAAAATATATTGAAATTAAGGAAAAATTCAGCATAAATGCTTTTTTATTAAAAATAATACACATAACTGGTGTAGGGTATCATATGGTCAGCCACGCCCGACTATACTTTTTTACTTTGTTAATTATATATCGGTATCATTTTCGAAATACTTTTAGGTCATCAAAAGGAGTTAAAAAAGATTCAGTTTACTGATTAATCATCCAACAATCTTCCAAATGCTAACAGGAAATATACAATCTACAGTGGGCAGAATCAATCGATCGGGATAAAATTTGGCACGGCCGTAGCCAAAGAGTATTCGAGTTTATGTTTTGAAAATGAACACCACTTATGTTCCAGGGGCGGCAACATATGAAGTTAGAGATCGTTTGATTTGTGACATCAAATCTGAATAAACAGACCTAAGTCTCTATCGAGACTGTTGTGCGTTCCCTTACTAGTGCCTTAGGTGGGTATCGAACCTACGGTCTCCGGTCTAACACACTAGAACACTAATCTGCCGGAGGCTATATGAAGGCTCTAAGTAGGGTATTTTCGACATTTAAAACTTAAGTTTTTTTCATTTTATTTATTCTTTATTGAATCTTTCTTATATAGAAATTTACAATAAGTGAAGCATGGATGCGAATAAGGGCGTAAAGACCACCTTTTCAAAATCGCGTTTTTTCGCATAATTATATTAAACTAACCTTTTTACATCTATTCATAAAAAATAAATTGAAAAATATAAATTTTTCGCTAAATAGATAGTTTTAAAAGCACGATTTTTAAATACTATTTATTTTTTTGGGTAAAAAATATTAGCAATTTAATGTATTTTTCTGTAAAAAATCGTATAAATTTTAATTCTAATTGCATTAAATTTGCAGAATGGTTGGAAAACATTTCAAATTTATTAATTTTTTAATTATATTGCAAAAAAGATTATTATTGAATGAATTATTTAAGTATGAAAGTGTGGACAAGAAGAAGGGCGTATATCCATAACTATAGTTATATTTTAAAAAATTATTATATCTTGTTATTTTCGGATTATTTTAGTTAAAGAGGTCCTATCCAATTTGATAATGAACTAAGATAATAATGTGGTTCGCTGATTTTGACAATAACGCAATAAGGTGCGATTTAAAGATTTTTCTAAGAAAGATTTTTCTAAGTACAATTTTTACTATGCTATTGTTATTATACTATTTTTATATGCATATTACTATAATTGATTGTTATGTTGAGGCTGTCCAAGTTTTATATAATAAAATAATTAAGAAGTATATAAAAATAACATTTATTTATATATACTTTCAACTAAAATATATGGATATATGCCCTTATTCCATTTTAGCAAAATTTCAAGTATTAATTTTGGCAAGTTGTCACTCGAATTTTTTACTGAGTTTTAGCACAGGGATAGATGTGAGTTATATTTATGCATATATGTGAAAAAAGTAGGAAAAAATTCCGATTTTAAAGTTTTATGATGTTTTTATCGTCTCCTGTAAAATTTCCCAAATGGTTTATACGCCCTTATTCGGCTCCATGCTTCAAGTATTAAAATCTTAACCTAAACTATAACTAACGTTGTTGTCGTTACCGCTGCAATTTCCACAAAAGTTCTCGATAATTTAATTATCTGGCAAAATCCAATGTTTTTGTTCTTCTCAGTCGTCTATGACCCTCAAATGACAGCAGCTCCCTGGCAAGGGGATTTGGGTGATACATTAGTTTCGATAAGAGAATTTGATCTATGGGGACATTGAGATCCCTATAAATATTACTATTGCGAATGTTCCACGGGGCACCTGTTATTGACATTAACAGTACTGACTGCTTTCTTTGTAATTTTTCAACATTAGATGAGGAGGCTGTTCCCCACAGTTGAATGCCGTATTGCCATATCGGTTTTATAAGTCTAGAGCTGACGTGGTCCAATTAGCCAGTACATTTGAGCTGACTTTAATTTTATTTGTGTAACCTTGGCTTCAATATGGTGAGTCCACTAAGAACAAATTAAGGAACCACATTTCTATCGGGGCTGGAAAAGGAGAACACATCGAGGTTTCCAAAACTACATTACATTTTCTTATTCCAACTTTGGAATTTCAGAACATGTAACCCAAATATGAAACTTTATAATTCTATAAAATTTATATATTTATGTTGGATTTCATAGATATAGAGTAATTTTTAAGCCAGCAATGAGCTTTGAAGTAATTTCTTGAAGTGGATCGGTCAATTATGGACCGATCTTCTTATAATTTTGTAGAGAAAATTTAATTGTTAAGACATGTTTTTTTTATTTCCAGTTGATTATAAATTGTGATAGATATTATTCTGTACTGGCACTTGTATGGGAACTAGGTGACACTTTTTGACCGATACTACATATTTTTAATGCTAAACAACCTGGATTAATAGGAAATGTTTGAGGAAAATTTCAGTCCACCAGCTCTCTTCGTTCGGACTCTGTTGTGGACATGACAAGGTTTTCTTATAATCTATTTAGGACCCAGTTAGGACCCAATTTTGGGGATCTTAGACGAACAACATTTAGCACTGTTGCTTGATTTTGACATAAGCTTTTTCGAAATGGTGAATTGGATTAGCTTAAAATATCTGGTGGTAACCGAGTATGCTAATATATGTAGATTATATTACAACTTTTAAAATCAGACGCGAACTAACTGTAAAGAAAAATAAATAAATTTAATAAAATATAATTTCCTTATTTTGCTTATCCTCCCCATAGATAAGCGTAAATGATTTAAAAATAAGGAAGAAGTTGGGAAAATAATTGAATTTCCTTCCTTCAAATTACAAACAAAATGGGTATTAGTGGCGTACTTTTTATGATGAAAAGCGAATTAGTAAGTCGTAAGTACCTGATACGTTGAAAAATTTAGTCACATTGGTAATATTAAGCTGTGCGGGTAGGCGGTATAGACTCATAAACTGTTGAATTATTATGTCAAATGTCATGATGGGTTATAAAAAAAGTCACCCTAATATACATATTTTATTCGAATGAAATTCACTTTTCACAATTTTTCATTTCAATAGGGTCACGCACAAAGTATTAATTTAAATGATTCAAAGAAAAGTAAAAAAATAAGACATGGAATATGTATAGTAATGAATATGTATGCATACAAACTCAGATGACTAATAAAAATTACCATAATATTTACAATACATATCATCTTCATATATTGAATGGAAACTTGATGCAAACGACTTTAAGGCATATCATAGTATTGCAAATATAATTAAACAAAAATTGTGTTAAAAATTTTTGGATTAAAAATGTTATTAGTACAAGTTTCTTAATTTCTAGATAAATGTACTAAATTGTTGCTTTAAAAAATTTGTGTAATTCTAACTGCAACCACAGACTGTGAACACCTTAAATATTTTGCATGCACTACATGTGTTTTGCATTTTTTTTTTCTTGTTCAATCACTAAATTTTTCATTAATGAAATTCTGTTTTGTCTACAAAACAAAACTTTCAAAACAAAAATGTATCATTTCTTTGAAACCACAATTTCTAAAACATGATTTTTTTATTGTAGTCTGTAATTTACTTTCATAATGAACAAATGGATTTTATTAAATTTTCTTATTTTCGCGAATATATCAATTGAAAGGCAATACGTTAATGCCAATGCCGCCATTATAACCAGTGTTAATTATGCCTTTGAAACTTTTAGTCCTTATGCCCTGATACGTTTTTTCGAATTCAGTGATAAGGAGTGGAATATAACGGAAAAGTGTTTTAGGGATATGTATGTGTATGTGAATGGCTTGAGAAATGGTGAATACTGGGCGGTTAAATGTAAGAATAGCTGTTGGAGTTTGAGTAATTGTTTAGTTGTTATTAATAATTTTAATATTTATTTTGTCAAGTGTATGATGCCTCTAGTTATTATGCCGGTGCCGCCTTTTCGGGTACCTCATTACGTTTACATAATCCCAATGTTTGTCGTCTTCTATCCAAACAATTTAATGAGTATTTCAAAGTACCGCGTCATCATTCGGAGACACTACTATACGTTTTGCCCTTCGATGTTCATCTTATATCGGGACATTTTCTTATGGAAATTGCCCATGACAATTTTTTTCGGGTGAGTATGAATATTTATAATAAAGCTCTAAAGTATACATTTCTAAAGAATTGGGCTATGCTAAATCGGAATCCGTTACCAAGATTTCTCCATGACATACAAACCCGCTTATAACGTACTCCGAGGGACCAGTCAAATTTGTTAGTTATAAGCCAGGGTGAAGTTTTTGTACATTAAAAAATAAAGTGTCAGTCTATAGTCTAGTCTATAGTCTAGTTTATAGTCTAGTCTATGGTCTAGTCTATAGTCTAGTCTATAGTCTAGTCCATAGTCTAGTCTATAGTCTTGTCTATAGTCTAGTTTATAGTCTAGTCTATAGTCTAGTCTATAGTCTAGTCTATAGTCTAGTCTATAGTCTAGTCTATAGTCTAGTCTATAGTCTAGTCTATAGTCTAGTCTAGTCTAGTCTATAGTCTAGTCGATAGTCTAGTCTATAGTCTAGTCTATAGTCTAGTCTATAGTCTAGTCTATAGTCTAGTCTATAGTCTAGTCTATAGTCTAGTCTATAGTCTAGTCTATAGTCTAGTCTATAGTCTAGTCTATAGTCTAGTCTATAGTCTAGTCTATAGTCTAGTCTATAGTCTAGTCTATAGTCTAGTCTATAGTCTAGTCTATAGTCTAGTCTATGGTCTAGTCTATAGTCTAGTCTATAGTCTATTCTATAGTCTAGTCTATAGTCTAGTATATAGAATTTAGATTTTTATAAAATCTGAAATAGCAGTCCTTTAATATACACTATTATTTTTAAAGTTCGAAAAAATTCAACAAATGATTTGTTTTCCGAAATCGTGTACCAATGCGGACATGGAGACTATTCTAGATGTTTATCTCTTTCAAACAACAATTTTCGTTAGAAATATAACATATTTAAGTCATCGAATTGTAACTGACAATTACAAAGTCTATGAAGATTTCAACTTTTATATATTGATGTAAGTTTTTAAAAAATGTTTAAAAAGAAGTATAAAACTTTAAAATGATAAATTTTGAATTTCAGAATTATACTTTGTGGTTCAATGTTAATACATCTAACAGTTTTTATAGCCAGACATTATATTATGGAACTAAATCGTTCCACTTTAAGTGAAGAACATATGAAAAAACATGCGGTTGGTTCATTTAAAATTAATAGTCTAAAAAATATTGCAGAATGGAAAAATACCTTGGAAGGTGTAGATATGAAACAATTTACTATGAGGCATTTCAAAACAAATGAAAGAGGTAAACAATGAACATTATTCCAATTACAATTAAATGAAAATTATTCAAATTTTAATTTCCCTATTTAGAAAGTTTGCCAAAAATCCTCTCCAGACAACATTCCTATTGTTTTGAAGAACTTTTGGACTACGTATCTTTACCCAATGTTATATATAATTTACTGCAGACTTCTTCTACTCCCCTATGCGGCTTGATGTTTATGTTTACCTTCTTTTTTATCTGGTTACACTTGGTGGCCGAATATAGTTTTATGTCCAATAACATGGACTTGGATTTGTCTAATAACAAAGTAAAGCAACGTGTTGTTATATTGCAGCGTTCAGCTTATATAATGAACGCGTATTTTTTGATTAAGTGAGTGTTAAATTAAAGCGTTAATATTAATAAAAAATAATTTTCTTCTTTTTTCCTTTCAGTGGTGCTAATTTATCTTATGATTTCTTCAAATCATTACCAAAGGACAAGCTAAATGTTTTTGAGCAATTGAAACACGTTTTTAAACTTGTAGTGAAAAAACTTTTCGGGTAAATTTTAAAAGATTTTATGTACTTATGAAGGATTTAATTTAGGTTATCGTCAAAAATGAAAGCCAAATGTTCGTTCACTGTTGTATTATATGCCCCATGTTTTATGTTGTTTTAGCCTCAATTTATAACAACATTAGTGAGATTAAACATTGTTATTATTTGTTTAGCAACTTTGTTTATAAGCAATGTCGACCATGCACACATAAAATTGTAAAGCCTAAAGTCATGCAATACTTTTTAAAATAGTTCACATACACATTTGTTTAAGTGCATTTTATATTTATTCGTGTTTATTGGTGGGATTTATGGATAACTAACTAACTAACTAACTAACTAACTACTAACTACTACTAACTAACTAACTAACTAACTAACTAACTACTAACTAACTAACTAACTAACTAACTACTACTAACTAACTAACTAACTAACTAACTAACTAACTAACTAACTAACTACTAACTAACTAACTAACTAACTAACTAACTAACTAACTAACTAACTAACTACTAACTAACTACTAACTAACTAACTAACTAACTAACTAACTAACTAACTAACTAACTAACTAACTAACTAACTAACTAACTAACTACTAACTAACTAACTAACTAACTAACTACTAACTAACTAACTAACTAACTAACTACTAACTAACTAACTAACTAACTAACTACTAACTAACTAACTAACTAACTAACTAACTAACTAACTAACTAACTAACTAACTAACTAACTAACTAACTAACTAACTAACTAACTAACTAACTAACTAACTAACTAACTAACTAACTAACTAACTAACTAACTAACTAACTAACTAACTAACTAACTAACTAACTAACTAACTAACTAACTAACTAACTAACTAACTAACTAACTAACTAACTAACTAACTAACTAACTAACTAACTAACTAACTAACTAACTAACTAACTAACTAACTAACTAACTAACTAACTAACTAACTAACTAACTAACTAACTAACTAACTAACTAACTAACTAACTAACTACTAACTAACTAACTAACTAACTAACTAACTAACTAACTAACTAACTAACTAACTAACTAACTAACTAACTAACTAACTACTAACTAACTACTAACTAACTAACTAACTAACTAACTAACTAACTAACTAACTAACTAACTAACTAACTAACTAACTAAACTAACTAACTAACTAACTACTAACTAACTACTAACTAACTACTAACTAACTAACTAACTAACTAACTAACTAACTAACTAACTAACTACTAACTAACTACTAACTAACTAACTAACTAACTAACTAACTAACTAACTAACTAACTAACTAACTAACTAACTCGGGGGAGTTTTCCAGATTTTTCCTACCGAGCGCGTCCCCGGGTGGCGGATAGGGGGTGGTGATGGACCATCTGTCCTCTCCCAGCTTTAATTTCACTTAAGCTGAGGGAGGGCAGATTGTCCACCACCTGGGAATATTATATTCCCCGCGGACCAAAAAACTGGAAAAAAAAAAAAAAAAAACAAATATGGAAAATAAAAATAAAAAGATAAAAGTTACGGTGCAGGGCCTAAATAACCCAGTACCGGCGGCAAGTGTTGATCTACTCGCGAGTCACGTGTCGTCGTCATCCTGCAATCGTGAGCAGAATACTACTACGGAGGTGGGTACCTTGGCCTCCGTGGCGGACAATGCGTCAAGTGTACAGCATGCCGCTGGCAAAAATATAGGGGTGAAAGAGAAGGATGTACTCGGAGAGAGCTCTAAGCTACCTCAGCCTTTAAATATAGGTGAGGGTTCCGACTCTGAATCCTCAGATGATAATAATAATAATACCATTATAGCAAATCCCAAAAAGGATGAAGTAGAGCAAATGGTGAAAGAGGTGAGTGATAGCATAGCTAAACTACCTATTACTAAGAAAAGACTTTCTGGAGCACAGAGGAGGAAGTTGAAAAAGATGCTTCAGGAAATCATAGTTAGTCAATCCCACGACACTCCAAAGGAATCGGACTCTCTCACAAGATCTGAGGCAAAAAGGATCAGGTCACCCGAGGAGTTGACAACTGAGAATAAGCCTAAGAAGAACTAACTAACTAACTAACTAACTAACTAACTAACTAACTAACTAACTAACTAACTAACTAACTAACTAACTAACTAACTAACTAACTAACTAACTAACTAACTAACTAACTAACTAACTAACTAACTAACTAACTAACTAACTAACTAACTAACTAACTAACTAACTAACTAACTAACTAACTAACTAACTAACTAACTAACTAACTAACTAACTAACTAACTAACTAACTAACTAACTAACTAACTAACTAACTAACTAACTAACTAACTAACTAACTAACTAACTAACTAACTAACTAACTAACTAACTAACTAACTAACTAACTAACTAACTAACTAACTAACTAACTCGGGGGAGTTTTCCAGATTTTTCCTACCGAGCGCGTCCCCGGGTGGCGGATAGGGGGTGGTGATGGACCATCTGTCCTCTCCCAGCTTTAATTTCACTTAAGCTGAGGGAGGGCAGATTGTCCACCACCTGGGAATATTATATTCCCCGCGGACCAAAAAACTGGAAAAAAAAAAAAAAAAACAAATATGGAAAATAAAAATAAAAAGATAAAAGTTACGGTGCAGGGCCTAAATAACCCAGTACCGGCGGCAAGTGTTGATCTACTCGCGAGTCACGTGTCGTCGTCATCCTGCAATCGTGAGCAGAATACTACTACGGAGGTGGGTACCTTGGCCTCCGTGGCGGACAATGCGTCAAGTGTACAGCATGCCGCTGGCAAAAATATAGGGGTGAAAGAGAAGGATGTACTCGGAGAGAGCTCTAAGCTACCTCAGCCTTTAAATATAGGTGAGGGTTCCGACTCTGAATCCTCAGATGATAATAATAATAATACCATTATAGCAAATCCCAAAAAGGATGAAGTAGAGCAAATGGTGAAAGAGGTGAGTGATAGCATAGCTAAACTACCTATTACTAAGAAAAGACTTTCTGGAGCACAGAGGAGGAAGTTGAAAAAGATGCTTCAGGAAATCATAGTTAGTCAATCCCACGACACTCCAAAGGAATCGGACTCTCTCACAAGATCTGAGGCAAAAAGGATCAGGTCACCCGAGGAGTTGACAACTGAGAATAAGCCTAAGAAGAAAAAGAGCTCCCCGTCTTCTAATACACAGTCGAAGCCAAGCCATACTTCACTCAAAGGAATCTCAAGTGAGAATCCTGCGAGTAAGGGTGACAACGCCAAGCCAGATATTCCGAAGACGAACACGTCGGCGAAATCAACCTCGAAGGTAAGGGAATCTCAAAAGAAGCCCCGAAAAACGAGGAAGGAGAAGCTAGACGGAGGAAAAGGTAAAGAGCCGCCATCTTACGCCAAAGTTGCCAGAAGTAGGCACCGGGACGATCTCTGCTATGCAGTTTACGATGCCGGTAATCCGACAGGCAAAATTCCAATAGACCAACAGAGTAAAATAGAAGACCTGGTCAACAATAAGATAGTGGACCATGCAATAGCTTCAAAGGGCAAACAACCAATAGAGAGCGAGAGCTGCGAGTTCAGCATGGGCGTGATGTTGATGAGGTTGGCATCTCACCAATGTGTTAGCACCCTAAAGAACTTGGTGGAAAGTATCCCTCCTCCCTGGGACGGCGCTAGGCTGGGACTGGCAAAGAAGAGCGAGCTTCCGGTGCTCCTAAAGTCCACTGTCTACATAAAAGGATGGGGCAGTAAACTGGCTAATGAACGTATACTGGAAATTCTTGGAGGTCAAAATGCTGAGCTGGCCGTGGAAAAATGGGATGTCTTTTACAGGAAAGAAGAACCTGAGGGAACTTTATTTGTAATAGGTATCGACCAGAAATCCATGGCTAGTCTTGCCAAGAATAAAGGTAGGGCTTACTTCGCCTCTAAATCTGTCATATTCAAAATTGGGAAGGTGCCGATTGGAAGGGCTGTTACAACAAGCCTCGAAAAGGACACTAAAAAACCTAAGACCACAGTATCCACTACTGATAACGTTGAGGAGTCAAATCCTAAAATCGAGGAATTTACCATTAACTCGCCAGAAGAAAGTGTAGTTGCCCTTTCCAAAATTGGGAAGGCGCCGATTGAAAGGGCTGTCAAAACCGGCCCCGACAAGGACACTAAAACACCTAAGACAGTACCCAAAGCATCATTAGCAGGTACTGGCAATGTTGAGGAGTCAAATCCTAAAAGCGAGGAGGAAATCACTCACCCGCCAGAAGACAGAACAGCAATGCTCTCCAGAATTGGGAATGTGTCTATTAAAAATACTGCTATTCCTATGCCTGATAAGGACACCGCAGTGCCATCAACAGTACTCACTGCATTAATAGCCACTTCAGGCTATCCGGAGGAGTCAAATCCAAAGAGCGAGGAGGTGACCACCAACTCGGTGGAAGACAGTTTAATGGATGACCATGATTGAGGTTATCCAAATAAACCTCCATCGGAGCGAGACAGCTACCAACGCTCTGATGGCTAAAATCAACACAGGTAAAATACATATAGCTTTAATCCAGGAACCTTGGACGATTCGCAACAAGGTTTCTGGATTAAATCACGTAAATTTCCAACTTTTCTACGCTGATACAGGATCTCGCCCGAGAACATGTATCTTATGTCACAAGAACTTATGTTTTCTCCTCTCAACAGGATTATCAACATCGGATGCAACGGTGCTGAAGCAAGGTCGAGGCAACATATACCTTGCATCTATTTACCTGCCTTTCGATTCTCCGACCCTACCACCAACGTCGGATCTGATGAAACTGGTTGAAGAGGCACAAAGGAAAAATAAGAAAATTGTAATAGGTTGTGATGCCAACTCGCATCATGTAGCTTGGGGTAGTACAAACACCAATCGCAGGGGACAAGCCCTCATGGATTTCTTTAATACTAAAGACTTGATAACATTGAACTTAGGTAATAAAGCTACCTTCGTCAATAGAATCAGAGAAGAAGTATTAGATATAACTATATGTTCAGAAGAGCTTATAAACGAAATTCAGGATTGGAGAGTTTCGGACGAGCACTCCTTTTCTGATCATCGGTACATAAGATTCAAAATACTAAGGCCACCACCAAAGCCGATAAAGTTTCGGAATAAGTCTAAAACTAATTGGACAATGTTCGGGGCCTTACTAAAGAACCGTTTAGGTCAGGACACTTTTCAATGTCGAAATAAAGAGGATATAGATGCCAAAGTGGAAACGTTCACAAGTGCCCTGGTTGAATCGTTCGAGGACAGCTGCCCTCTGCGAGAGCGGAGATCTGCCCAGGAAAAACCCTGGGTAACTGGGGAGATCCGGAACCTTGGGAAGACTCTTCGCAAACTATTTAACCGGGCACGGCGTAAAAAGACCGCAGTATACTGGGATGAGTATCGTAATAAACTTGGTGAATATAAGAAAATCTTGCGAAGAGCCAAACGAGAATCCTGGAAACTTTTCTGTGAACAGGTAGATAGCGTAAATGAGGTATCGAAGATAAAAAAATTCCTATCCAAAACTCATGTCCAACCGGAATCTATGATCGATGACACGGGCAGGAGGCTTGAGGATATGGAGGAGACAATGAAACTCCTAATGGATTCTCATTTCCCACCCGGTATATCGAATAACATAGATGAACCGATATTGGAGGAAGGGGAGGGTAACACGGAAATAGTTATTACAACTGACATGGTTAAAGGGGCAATCAAGAGCTTTGCTCCCTATAAAGCTGCAGGGCCGGATGGAATTTTCCCGGCACTTTTGCAGATGGAGGCGGGACTGGTTTCCGTACATCTGTCACAGATATTCACTGCATGCTTAAAATTGGCATATACCCCAGTTAAATGGCAGGATGCAAGGGTAATATTTATACCCAAACCAGGGAAACCTAGCTATGCGACACCTAAGTCCTATCGACCGATAAGTCTTACGTCCTTCCTACTTAAAACCTTGGAACGGATAGTCGATAGCATGGTTAAAAGCAGCATACCATACAATGACCTTAAATATAAGCAGCATGCTTATGTAAAGGGACGATCGGTGGAAACCGCTTTAAATGAAGTTGTCCACTACATAGGTGAATCTTTCGATAGCAAACTGTATACACTGGCAGTATGCATTGACATCGAAGGCGCTTTCAATAACGTGCACACTGATACCCTTATCCAATCCCTAGACCAGTTTTATGTTGACCGGGTGCTCCGTAACTGGATCAACTACATGCTAAGGAACAGATGGATAAGCTGCGAGATGTACGATATAACTATCAGGAAAAAGGTATTTCGCGGTATACCACAGGGTGGCATTTTGTCACCTTTACTCTGGGTCACCACGATTAATAGCCTCCTAAGGACCCTAACCGAGAAAGGACTTAGACCTGTCTGCTATGCAGACGATGTCGTAATACTTTTAAAGGGAAAGGATCCAAATTACTTGTGTAGAAGAGCTGAGGAGGCTCTGAATACGGCCTTGAGCTGGGCTCAACCGAGAGGCCTCAATGTTAACCCGGCGAAGACGGAAATCTGTCTTTTCACAAGAAAGACAAAAATTTCTACATATACTGAACCTTGCTTCTTGGGCAAGAAGATACCGGTGACAGACAAAGTTAAGTACTTAGGTGTAATACTTGACCGGAAATTAAAATGGAGACACCACATAGAGGATAGGATCAACAAGGCACATCGGTGCTGGGCGATATGTAGGAGAACCATAGGCATGAAATGGGGTCTTAGTCCTACTATGACAAATTGGCTTTATAAAAGTGTAATTAGACCAATTCTAGCTTATGCTTCAATAATCTGGTGGACTGCTTTGGACAAAAAGTGTAATATCAAACTACTACAGGGAGTTCAGCGTACATGCTGCTTGGGTATAAGTGGTGCCATGTGTACTACTTCAACCAAGGCTCTGGAAACGTTGCTAGATATTCCACCCATTGAAACATATATAAGATATGAGGCGGCGCTTACAGCCGAACGGCTCTTTACTTTAGGCGAACTGGCCAAAAACGGTTATGGGACACGTCATCAATGTATACTGGACACATTGGAAGGTTATACACATTCATCGGACGTGCCTGATCGCATACCAGACACTGAATATGTCGGAAACTTTGAAACGCTAATCCCAGATAGAATGTCTTGGTCAAGCGGAACATTAGAGCAAATACCAGTAGGAATCCGTTGCTACACGGATGGCTCTAAATTAGGGGACAAAGTGGGTCTGGGGTTCTATATTGAAGACCCAGAAACAGAAATATACCACCGTTTACCTAATCATAACACAAGCTTCCAGGCAGAAGTACGAGCAATAACGGAATGTGTAAATTGGATTAGAATAAATATGGCGCCCACAGGGCTTAATATATTTACCGACAGCCAGAAGGCAATTTGTGCGATATCAGGTGATAGAATTAAATCTAAGACCGTATTGGATTGTAAGAAAGCTTTAACTGAATACTCTCCCAGAGGTAAGGTTCACATCATATGGGTACCAGGCCACTCGGGAGTAGCCGGCAACGAAAGGGCGAATGTAATAGCTTTAAAGGGAAGGGAGCTCGATGTAGTTAACCTGACAAACGCAAAACCATTCGACGCAACAAAAGCTGAATTAAAAATATGGATGAGAGAATCCCATAAGGCCTCTTGGAATAATGAAACGGTGGGTAGAACCACAAAGATTCTATGGGGTGACCCTGATGAGAGCAAGACGAGAAATCTTCTCAAAATGAGCAAGTCTGAGGTTAGTATGATGGTACGTATTCTCAGTGGACACACAGGATTACGAGCACATCTATACAAAATTGGACGTGCGAATTCAGACGAATGTAGAGCATGTGGAGAGGACAGTGAAACTCTGGAGCACTTTCTTTGCCATTGTCAGGCATTCGTCGAAGTTAGATCCAAGTATCTTGGAAGTGATGTTATTCCAGAAATAACATTCTTAACCAACACCGATTGGAAGATTCTTAGGAATTACGTCCAGGAAACTGAGTTTCTGAACATGGAAAAATAATACATTCAGTGAACAATTTTTTTTTTTTTTTTCTTGAATTGGAGCGCACAACAGGCCCGATAGTGGCCTAGGTGTATTTCTTCGGATTTGATGTAGTATACATCCTCCTATCAACCTACCTACCTACCTACCTAACTAACTAACTAACTAACTAACTAACTAACTAACTAACTAACTAACTAACTAACTAACTAACTAACTAACTAACTAACTAACTAACTAACTAACTAACTAACTAACTAACTAACTAACTAACTAACTAACTAACTAACTAACTAACTAACTAACTAACTAACTAACTAACTAACTAACTAACTAACTAACTAACTAACTAACTAACTAACTAACTAACTAACTAACTAACTAACTAACTAACTAACTAACTAACTAACTAACTAACTAACTACTAACTAACTAACTAACTAACTAACTAACTAACTAACTAACTAACTAACTAACTAACTAACTAACTAACTAACTAACTAACTAACTAACTAACTAACTAACTAACTAACTAACTAACTAACTAACTAACTAACTAACTAACTAACTAACTAACTAACTAACTAACTAACTAACTAACTAACTAACTAACTAACTAACTAACTAACTAACTAACTAACTAACTAACTAACTAACTAACTAACTAACTAACTAACTAACTAACTAACTAACTAACTAACTAACTACTAACTAACTACTAACTAACTAACTAACTAACTAACTAACTAACTAACTAACTAACTAACTAACTACTAACTAACTAACTAACTAACTAACTACTAACTAACTAACTAACTAACTAACTAACTAACTAACTAACTAACTAACTAACTAACTAACTAACTAACTAACTAACTAACTAACTAACTCCTCTAGTCTGTTGGGACTATAAACTAGTGGTTTCAAATATATCCTCGGCATTATCTTGTAGTGATTTGACCTGGGATCGAACCAGAGAACCCATCTTATCTGGTACCACGGTATCCGGTAGCCCGCAGAACAGATTTTAAGGCTTCGTCTTGTCCCGGTTATTGTAACGGTCCCATCGCGGTGTAACTTCGAAGTAAGAGAATGTTAAAATCTATATTTCAAGATAAATTCGGTGCTGTTGCCGAAAAAACAACAGATACCCCTCAGAGGTGTGTCTGTGGGACTAAGCGTTGCAACAGGACAGTGCTGGTCACAGATTAGATAGCTCAAGTGCTAGAAAGTGCTTGTACATGGACCGGAGGCATCATGTACACAAATTTTCGCCTGCGAGTTTTTTTTTCAAAAAGGGGATATGGTGAATTGTCTCTAGCTCACCTCGTGGGTCAAAAAGTACCACCGTAAAATAGGACGTTTGTTAGGAGTTCACGTAAAACACTCGAATTATGTATGCTTGTTCAATTCTGTGAGAATTGCTTCTTTGCTGGGCATAACTTTATATTAGAACTTATTCTGAAATTCAAATTAGAATATCCAAAAAAACTTTTTTTTAATTTCAGTTTAATGCCTTCGTATACATTTGTGTTATATGCAGCTCAAGTGTTGGACAAATATTTTCATCATAATGTTATCTTGGAATTACCTTCACGAGATTATAAGAATTGTGCCCAAAACATGTTTAGTAACATTTTCTATATGGACACATATTTTCCACCAACAGAAAGGGTAGGTTAATGCCTTCTTTTCTTAAAAATAATCAAATTTTTCTGAAGTTCTACATAATTTAATTTTTTTCTATTTCTTATTTAACAGTGTATGCCTTGGACTTGGTTTATATCATTGCAAGTACAATTTTATGTTACATCATGTTTACTAATGCTGCTAGTCGAGATACAATTGCGTTATTCCATCATTATAGGTACCACCATATTTTGCATATCAATAGCAGCAGCCACATTGTGGTCTCTGGGACCCATCTATGAATATGGTTATACGTAAGTTTTAAAATAATAACTATAACCTTGGAATGAGGCAAAATAATTGCTATTTAATAACATCTTTAGTACATCTCTGCTATATGAATTGGTGAATTTCAATTTGATATTGGATAATATTTGTTTGTTTATAATTCCTCATCTATTGGGCATTTGTTTGGGTCATATCATTTACAAAATGAATCATAATTTCAATATCAATATATTTTTTATGGTCTCAGGTAACTGTTGTAGTTTTCTTTATTATTATTGAATGATATTTTATTGATTTGTTTATTTCAGGTTGGCTATTCTCCATTACTCTCATTGCCTTTTATATATTTGGTCTAAATGTGATTTTGCATCATGTTAATAAGTTGACCAAAGCCATCCTTATTGTTACTACCCATATAATTTGGTGCTGTATTTTATTTTGGACTGTTATATCAGCCATGTCGACTAATGGAGGTAAGTACTCATAATTAACCTAGCCGCTCTGTTAGACCTCCTTGAGATCTATTTAACGACAATAAAATAGACTACACTATAGACTAGACTATAGACTAGACTATAGACTACACTATAGACTACACTATAGACTAGACTATAGACTAGACTATAGACTAGACTATAGACTAGACTATAGACTAGACTATAGACTAGACTATAGACTAGACTATAGACTAGACTATAGACTAGACTATAGACTAGACTATAGACTAGACTATAGACTAAGAACTATAGACTAGACTAGACTATAGACTATACTATAGACTAGACTATAGACTAGACTATAGACTAGACTATAGACTAGACAATAGACTAGACTATAGACTAGACTATAGACTAGACTATAGACTAGACTATAGACTAGACTATAGACTAGACTATAGACTAGACAATAGACTAGACTATAGACTAGACTATAGACTAGACTATAGACTAGACTATAGACTAGACTATAGACTAGACTATAGACTAGACTATAGACTAGACTATAGACTGACTATAGACTAGACTATAGACTAGACTATAGACTAGACTATAGACTAGACTATAGACTAGACTATAGACTACTATAACTAGACTATAGACTAGACTATAGACTAGACTATAGACTAGACTATAGACTAGACTATAGACTAGACTATAGACTAGACTATAGACTAGACTATAGACTAGACTATAGACTAGACTATAACTAGACTATAGACTAGACTATAGACTAGACTATAGACTACTATAGACTAGACTATAGATAGACTATAGACTAGACTATAGACTAGACTATAGACTAGACTAGACTAGACTAGACTATAGACTAGACTAGACTATAGACTAGACTATAGACTAGACTATAGACTAGACTATAGACTAGACTATAGACTAGGCTATAGACTAGACTATAGACCGACTATAGACTAGACTATCTAGACTATAGACTAGACTATAGACTAGACTATAGACTAGACTATAGACTAGACTATAGACTAGACTATAGACTAGACTATAGACTAACTAGACTATAGACTAGACTATAGACTAGACTATAGACTGACTATAGACTAGACTATAGACTAGACTATAGACTAGACTATAGACTAGACTATAGACTAGACTAGACTAGACTAGACTAGACTATAGACTAGACTATAGACTAGACTATAGACTAGACTATAGACTAGACTATAGACTAGACTATAGACTAGACTATAGACTAGACTATAGACTAGACTATAGACTAACTATAGACTAGACTATAGACTAGACTATAGACTAGACTATTGACTAGACTATAGACTAGACTATAGACTAGACTATAAACTAGAGACTATAGACTAGACTATAGACTAGACTATAGACTAGACTATAGACTAGACTATAGACTAGACTATAGACTAGACTATAGACTAGACTATAGACTAGACTATAGACTAGACTATAGACTAGACTATAGACTAGACATAGACTAGACTATAGACTAGACTATAGACTAGACTATAGACTACTATAGACTAGACTATAGACTAGACTATAGACTAGACTATAGACTAGACTATAGACTAGACTATAGACTAGACTATAGACTAGACTATAGACTAGACTATAGACTAGACTATAGACTAGACTATACTAGACTATAGACTATACTATAGACTAGACTATAGACTAGACTATAGACTATCTATAGACTAGACTATAGACTAGACTATAGACTAGACTATAGACTAGACTAGACTAGACTAGAGACTAGACTAGACTGACTAGAACTAGACTAGACTAGACTAGACTAGACTAGACTAACTAGACTAGACTAAACTAACTAAACTAAACTAAACTAAACTAAACTAAACTAAACTAAACTAAACTAAACTAAACTAAACTAAACTAAACTAAACTAAACTAAACTAAACTAAACTAAACTAAACTAAACTAAACTAAACTAAACTAAACTAAACTAAACTAAACTAAACTAAACTAAACTAAACTAACTAAACTAAACTAAACTAAACTAAACTAAACTAAACTAACTAAACTAAACTAAACTAAACTAAACTAAACTAAATAAACTAAACTAAACTAAACTAAACTAAACTAAACTAAACTAAACTAAACTAAACTAAACTAAACTAAACTAAACTAAACTAGACTAGACTAGACTAGACTAGACTAGACTAGACTAGACTAGACTAGACTATAGACTAGACTATAGACTAGACTAGACTAGACTATAGACTAGACTATAGACTAGACTATAGACTAGACTATAGACTAGACTATAGACTAGACTATAGACTAGACTATAGACTAGACTATAGACTAGACTATAGACTAGACTATAGACTAGACTATAGACTAGACTATAGACTAGACTATAGACTAGACTATAGACTAGACTATAGACTAGACTATAGACTAGACTATAGACTAGACTATAGACTAGACTATAGACTAGACTATAGACTAGACTATAGACTAGACTATAGACTAGACTATAGACTAGACTATAGACTAGACTATAGACTAGACTATAGACTAGACTATAGACTAGACTATAGACTAGACTATAGACTAGACTATAGACTAGACTATAGACTAGACTATAGACTAGACTATAGACTAGACTATAGACTAGATTTAATTTGGGAAAAACGTTTGGCAAATGCTTAGCAGTACCAAAACAATTAGTGACGTAATATTATCATTATACAATATATGTATCTCCTTATATTCTTATTCTTTTAGAGCATTTTTTTGATTTTCTGCTTATTACATTCTGCCACTTTTCTTTCCCTTACTATCTTTACAGATATAATTTACAAGATTCTAAGCTTCAAATATGCCCATGTTTTCGAAAAACTAACACCGATTAATTTAATCATAACACCGATAATAATACGTCTGCTAATATTTACGGCCGATGTGCCCATATATTGGTCAACAGGACAAACGGTGAGTTTTTAATAATATAGTAAATAAACTTGATTTGTATTAGCTTTTATAATATTTCAGTTAGCGGTTTTTGTGGGTTGTTTACTACTGATAAATGTAAGTTCACTGTTGCTCTACATTTTGCTAGATGGACCACTAATGGCTGCACTTGAAAATTTACTGGGCAGTAGTTTATAGGAAGTAGTGTGAATAAAACTAACGAAAATAACAAAAATAAAGAATTAAGTAACAATTTAATGAAAATGTTTGAGAGAAAAAAAACATAATTTTCTGTTTGTAATCATAACAATTACCAGCAACAGATAAAATGTATAGCTATGGACCTAAAACAACAATAACAACAACAATGTAACAAATGCCTTTGATTAACGGTAAATGTTGGTCAATTTTAATTACTCCTTATAATAAATTCGCCCTCTCTTTCTTACATACACTCGTTTACTCTTACTTTCTGTGAGAGTTTTGTAAATTAAGTAAATATAACGGCAGCAACAAAACAACAACATCCTAGCCATCATCAGCAACAAACAACAACAATAAATATAATAAAATAATCATGTAATAAAAGTCTTGAAAAAAAACCGCGTAAATTAGCGTGACGAAATACAAGTATTTTGGTTTTTAATTTTAAATTTTTGTTTGTTTATTTTTCTCTCTCTATGCTTTCATTGTTACATTCAACCATTCATTCGTTCATTCATTCGTTCGCTCGTTCACTAATATTATACTTAAGTTGTATTACCAAATATGTATTTTATTTTTTCTTTCCTTAAAATAAATATTTTGTTAAAGAAATTTACAAAAACAATAAAGTTATTTAATACGAAATGTAATATTTGTTGTTTTCTCACTGTTTTCTTTAATTTAATTGTTGTTTTATTTGTTTTTATTGCAAAACTATTGTTGTATTATGCGGCGATTTCTGTTTTATTTGAGTTTTAGTTTTTTTTTTCTTTAATTTCCAGGTGAAATATTTTGTAATGTGAAAAATATAATGTTGTTGCAACTTTAATTATAAATATATAAAAAATAAAAATAATGTAATATAAACCTAATTTTCATGTACCAACAAAATACTATACATTATATAATTTGTTGCTGTTAATAGAAATTGTTTTTAAACATTTTGTAATAATAGTATTTAAAGTAATTGATTATAAAGTCCTAAGGTTTAGGGGGTTTTAAAGTATTTCCTATAATTTCTGTTAATAACTATTACTTACTAACATCTTTTTATTAATTTACAACATTTCTATTATTATTTTCTTTATTTGTTTTTCCGCAAAATTTCCAAATTCCTTTTATAACATTAATAGTAAATATTACATTAGTATGTCTCGTTATAATTAATTACTCTTGCAGTTAAATTTATAGCCACAAACTTCATTTTGATTATTTTTTAATGGTCATATTGAAATTTATAATTCAAGAAATTATAAATCATGATATTTTTAAAATTAATATAGTTAAAATATTTGTTTAAATTCAAGTAGGCATATTATATTTTATTACATTTTTGCTTTTGTAAATAGTTTCCCAGTTATTTCTTAATACTTCAACTAAGTTTCTTAATAATATTAATTTTTATTTAATGGTTCCGGTCTTACATTGCTCTTATTGTTGGAAATAATATGGAGAAGAACGGTGACTAAGAATGGCTATTTCGATCATCTAAAGCAGTTTGAACTAATTCCCCTTTTGTCTAAGAATGTTAAAAGAATGAGAGAAAGGATCTAGGGTACAAATCGATTATTCTTTCCAGAGTTTTGAGCAAAAAGGACTATGTAATGGATGTTTGGTTAATGCATTGAACACATTGAAGACAGCAGACTACCAACTGCAATCTGTCAAAAATAAAATACACACGTTTATATGAAGACGATTCTTTTGACGACAGCACAGCTACACGACCACTCGACTGCTTTTGTCGCTGCAGTCGAATTAAGCTAATTTCTATTTTTGTCAAACACAAAAACAGAAACAGTGTTGCTAATATAATAAAAAATTGAAGTGCTTAAAAAATATATTTTTTTTACTTTATTGAGAGAAGTTCTGATAACCATATTGGAATTAATTAATAATAGGTATGTAAATTATTACAACATATATATTTTTACTCAAAATAATAGTTTAAATCTTAATTACTTTGAAATGTTATACGTTTATTTTTTATTAATGTAAAAACAAAAAACGATAAAGTGACACCACTGAATTATAAATTCATATCAACAAGAAACAGCTGTTTATTTATATTACTTGTAGCTGTAGTCTTTAAAATAATTCAGTAGCTACCACACGACTACAACTGCAGCACAGCAGCATTTGTGTTCGTGTAGTCGTGTAGCCTGCTGTCTTCAATGTGTTCAATGCATAACGTGGTAGTTTTTTGAGCGCAGTAGTAGAAACGTAGGGACTCCATTTTGATACAATAGGCCTATAGTCCATTGACTATTGCATCAAAACGGGGTCTTTATTCTACTTACGGGTAATTTTTTGCTCAAAACTCTGAAAAGAATAATCAATATTTATCATAGGATGTACCTATAGTTCTAAGCCCTAGTATATGATAAATAATATATTACATAGCCCAGGAAAAAAGTGTCATTATATCATTCTTTTTTTTTTTTTTAATTAGGATGGCGGTACATTAAGCACTCATATTGCCAGGTTATCACACGTTTGTCCAGAGAAAACCCCACCAACCGACCTATACCTTCATATAGGAAGTTGGAGCATCCGGACTTAATTTCATCAAAAGTATTAATGGTCTCCACCAGAAAAAAGTTTTAGAGTTTTAATGGTCTCCACCAGTAAATATTTGAGTTTAAATGGTCTCCACCAGGTTATATCGTGAGTATTTTATGGTCTCCACCAGTTAAATACATAACCTCACTCTGAGGTAAAACGAAAGCACGCGTTTAATGAAGACAACGCATAACTTAGAACAGTTATACGAAGTAGTGCATTAAATTAGTGCGGGGTGAGAAGTAATTCTGTCGAAAGCCCAGCAACAAGCACAAGCCTGACCGTCCTTAAGAAATAAAAACGATGACGCGAGAGTTGTTCCCCAACTCAGACCTGAATTACAACTGATTATATCATTCAATGAGATCTATAAAGTTTACACTAATAGCCATAACATCAAAAATGTTTCCGACCATATGATACCCTACACCACTGAGTATGTTAAAAATGTGGATTATATTTAATAACAAAGCATTTAAGTTGTTTACTTTAATTCCGAAATATTTTAAAAATTTGTTGAAAAAAGTGATTTTCTAAAAGAGAGGTTATATGGGGGCAAGGGTAAATATGGGCCTATCCTTATAATTTTTGGTACATGGCTTTAAGTTTACATATGAGTTATGTATGCTGGATTTCATCGTGATACTAGTGTTTATTAGTGAATTATTGACCTTCAGTCATTTTCTGAAGGGGACTTTGTATGGGGGCTAGGGTCAAATAAAGACCGATAATTACGAAAATCGGTAGTATTATTAAAACGTATATAGAACTATGTTTTTCAGATTTTTGTAGAGATACTACAATATTTAACATAATTATGAACTCAAAAGCCCTTTCCGCGGGGTAGGATTGTATGGGGGCTAGGTGATATAATGGACCGATTTCAACCATTTTCAATAGGCTTCGTCACCGAAAAACACGTATGGTCCAAATTTCAGCAAACTATCTTGAAAATTGCGACCTGTACCTTGCGCACAAGGTTCACATGGACAGCCAACCAGCCGGACAGACGGACGGACGGACATGGCTTAATCGACTCAGAAAGTGATTCTGAGTCGATCGGTATACGGTGTAGGATCAATATTTTTGTGCGTTACAAACATCAGCACAAACGTATAATACCCTCCCCACTATGGTGATGTAAAAAGTGAAACAGCTGTTTCCATCTTACTTTGTTACTGTTTTCTACCAATCGTGTAAACACTAACCCCCTCATTCACAAACAAAATTTTTATTTTATAAACAGTTTATAAATTAGATATTGTATGAAAATTTTGTTTTATAAACCTTTTATAAAACAGAAATGTTGTTTCTGAATAAGGGGGTAAAAATGTTGTTTGTGAATAAGGGGGAAAGAATATAAATCATACGACTTTTATTCTCTTTTTTATAATACGGATGGAATTTCATTTTACTTTTTCATTAGACTTTACGCACTTAAAGTCAGATCGTGTAAATGCCACTTAAACAGGAGCTGGTTCTGAATCTTTATGGATTAACTGGATGATTATGCTTATGTAACAAGTCAGATGGACGAGGTGAGTACTCGTCTTTATTATTGTTTTCCAGACAGAAATATACTTTGGCATCACCATCAATATGACTTCAGCACCATGTTTTCAACCATGTTTAGTTAGCCAAAGAAGATACCTACGGGATCATCTGCAGAAGTAGAACTATTCGATGGCGGATCATCTATTTTCTTGTTGAAGGCATTATCGCCAAACTGATAGACACAGAGAGTGATAATATCATAATTGGTAATAATCTTACAATTACTTTAACCTAATATGGGTGGTCTCTGGTTCCAAATAGAGGCATACGGGCCTTTTAATAAATTTAATAAGATTCGTATCATCCAGATCATTAATGAAGCTTGTACCAAAATGTCTTAGTCTACGCAGCCGGGGAAATCTAAATACACCTTTACATTCGTTGGCGATTTAATTTCCCCGAATGTCCCCGTGTTCTGGAACCCATAACAATATTGGATGCGATTGAGAATACATTTCGATCCAGGCATGGAAAATTTAAATTTAGAAATAGTACTAACTTATAACGAAAATACTACTTTTTAGGTTTAAAAGTAAAAATTTAATTTCAGCTAGACTATAGACTAGGCTATAGACTAGACTATAGACTAGACTATAGACTAGACTATAGACTAGACTATAGACTAGACTATAGACTAGACTATAGACTAGACTATAGACTAGACTATAGACTAGACTATAGACTAGACTATAGACTAGACTATAGACTAGACTATAGACTAGACTATAGACTAGACTATAGACTAGACTATAGACTAGACTATAGACTAGACTATAGACTAGACTATAGACTAGGCTATAGACTAGACTATAGACTAGACTATAGACTAGACTATAGACTAGGCTATAGACTAGGCTATAGACTAGACTATAGACTAGACTATAGACTAGACTATAGACTAGGCTATAGACTAGACTATAGACGAGACTATAGACTAGACTATAGACTAGACTATAGACTAGACTATAGACTAGACTATAGACTAGACTATAGACTAGACTATAGACTAGACTATAGACTAGACTATAGACTAGACTATAAACTAGACTATAGACTAGACTATAGACTAGACTATAGACTAGACTATAGACTAGACTATAGACTAGACTATAGACTAGACTATAGACTAGACTATAGACTAGACTATAGACTAGACTATAGACTAGACTATAGACTAGACTATAGACTAGACTATAGACTAGACTATAGACTAGACTATAGTCTAGTCTAT